TTGCAGGTAAGTTAAAGAATGAAAACTGACCACTGGACGTAGCAACATCAAGGTGATTGGTGATCTTGATAAAAACAGTTTCAGTGGAATGATGGAAGCAAAAGACGAACTGGCATTTCTTAAAAAGTTAAATATAAACCTATCATGTGATCTAGCCGTTCCACCCCTAGGCATTTACCAAGAGAAAAGGAAACATATATCCATAGAAAGACTTGAACGCAAGTATTGATAGCCCCAAACTGGACACAACCCAAATATTCAACAACAGGTGAACAGATAAACAAATTGCAATATATCCATATGATGGAATACTACTCAAAAATAAAAGGGGCAAACTATTGATGCTCACAACATGGATGAATTTTTAAATAATTATAAGTGAAAGAAGTCTGACACAAAAGAATAGATACTGTATGATTCCATTTGTATAAAATTTCTGCAAGTGCAAACTTATCTGGGGTGACAGAAAGCAGATGTGTGTTTGTCTAGGGATGGTGCAGCACAAGGAAACTTGGGGATAATGGATATACTCATTACCCTGATTGTGATGATGATTTCATGGTTGCATACATGTATCAAAACTCATCAAATTGTACACTTTGTGGCCAGTTTCTTATAAATTAATACCTTAACAAAGCTATAAAATAAATAAAGACATTAGCATAAAAAATAAAGGGTGGGACTTCATGTGGAAGCAGAGGTCTTGGTCTTAGCTAGGCTCAAGAATTTTCCATCCTATTTTGATGTGTATTTAGAAAATATAACCAGCACATCAAACCCATCATTCCCAGATATTATTGCTTTGGATAAGGTTAAATGAATAGTGTATACTTAAGCATCAATTTGAAGAAAGATTCGGTTGATCATCACGTGAATCGTACATCCATGTGGCAGTATAATAAAGTTATGAGGTTGGCATGAGAATTGGCTTTGTTCAACACTCTCATTTTATAAAGAAGGAAGGATTTCCTAAGGAATGCCACAAAGTTCTCTTAAATAAATGATACTAATAAACTCTTATGGAGATTACTACCTGTCCTAATTGAGTTCTTGTTTATTTATTCCCTGTGTATCCTCTCATTAAAACTGTACACATCCTTCAAGACATCTCAAATACATCATCCATCCTCATGAAGCCTTTCCTTATTCCTCAAAACAAACATGACCTCTCCTTCCTTTAGTCAGAGCCTTACTGTACCCAGCAAAGACTTGCTTGTAGTACTATCCATCTCACTAAGTTCTGACCAAGGAGATAGATGCAGAAGTATTATACATTATTGTTTGGGGGGAGTTCCCTGGTGGCCTAGTGGTTAGGATTCCAGTCTCTCACTGCCGTGGCCCGGTTTCAGTCCCTGGCTGGGGAACTGAGATCCTGCAAGGTGTGTGAGCGACTCAGCCACAAAAAAAAAAAAAAAAAAAAGAAGTACTATATTGTTTGGAAATTTTGTAGGGCTAGTTCAGCTGGGAGGTGTACCATTTTGCCCTTCCCCACCTTCCTCCTTCCTACTAATGTACTTGGAATAAGATTTAATGGCTCAAGACTGCTCAAGCTGCTGTCTAGACTATTACCAAAAAGGCACCCCAAGTAGAGATATAAGTCAAAAGAGTGTGCTTCTTATGCAAACAGTTTAAAATAGTCCTCTAGACTAGGCTCCTTCAAATAAGAAATTTTTAACTCATCTGAATCCAGATATTATGATCCATTTTATAATAATAGGTTCTCTTTTGCAAAGTTATAAAGGATAGTTTCTTTTCTAGAATAATTCACTTTAGGTTAAAAATCATTTGGGGGTCAGAAAAAGATGGAAAGTTCCTTTGCCAATTCAAGACTAAATACAGAAATGAATATGGAGTTTTCTTGGTGTTGATCTAACATACATTAAACATATGTACATTGCATTGCATATAATATAGCCATTATTTAACATCTAAAAAATACATATTTAGTTAGGCACTCTCAGCCTTAGTTTTCTCATCTATCAAAAAGAATAAATCCTGCTTCAGGGTGTTGGGGGGTAAAATGAGCAGACCCATATGCCCTCCTTAGATCAGGACTGCATAACCTCACTCGACTCATTTTCCTCAGCTCCTTCCTTGCTGCACACACCCCTCCCAACCATTAGTCACACCCAGACTTCTGGTCATGCTTTAATTCCACCAGACTTTTTCAAGTCTTTGCACCTTTACACTGGCTGCTTTCTTTATGTAGAAAGCCTTTCTTTCCCTTCTCCAAAAAAACTCATCTTCCAGAATTTCAATCAAATGGTACCATAACTGTGAAACATTCTGATTCCTCTGGCTATGTTGTCCTATTGTTTCCACTCCTCTATCGTAAGAACATATGTATTCATTTTAAGAGTATTTTGTGGGCTTCCCTGGTGGCGCAGTGGTTAATGAATCCTCCTGCCAATGCAGAGGACACAGGTTTGAGCCCTGGTCCGAGAAGTTCCCACAGTCATGGAGCAAATAAGCCCGTGTGCCGTGACTACTGAGCCTGCGCTCTAGAGCCCACGAGCCACATCTACTGAGCCCACGTGCCACAACCACTGAAGCCCACACACCTAGAGCCTGTGTTCTGCAACAAGAGAAGCCACTGCAGTGAGAAGCCCGTGCCGCAACGAAGTGTAGGCCCCGCTCGCCACAACTAGAGAAAGCCTGAGAGCAGCAACGAAGATGTGATGCAGCCAAAAATAAATAAGTAAAAAAATTTATTAAAAAAAAAAGAGTATTTTCTATTTCTCTCTCTTATTAGTCTGTGAGTTTCCTAAGGGCAAATGTCCACGCCTTATTTATTTTTGTACTCAAAACACTTAGTTGGTCCAGTGGTTAGGACTCTGCGCTTTCACTGCCAGCTGGGTTTGATCCTTTGTCTGGGAACCAAGATCCCGCAAGACGAGTGGCACGGCCAAAAAAACCCCGAAAACACGCAAACAAAAAAACACTTACTGGGGCTTCCCTGGTGGCGCAGTGGTTGGTAGTCCACCTGCCGATGCAGGGGACACGGGTTTGTGCCCCGGTGAGCGAAGATCCCACATGCCGCAGAGCGGCTGGGCCCGTGAGCCATGGCTGCTGAGCCTGCGCGTCCGGAGCCTGTGCTCCGCAGCAGGAGAGGCCGTAGCAGTGAGAGGCCCGCGTAGCGCTAAAAAAAAACCAAAAAAACACTTACCCTAGTGCCTGACAGGACAGATTGTGAATACTGTAAAAGCTTGTGACATGGCCTGAGTGTTTTACTCAATAAGTCACATTTTAGTGACTTAAATATTCATAGTACATAAGCTTACGATTTTGACAGGAATTATATTAAATAATTTCAGTATGTTTTGTTTTGAGGATGCTTTTTTTCTTACTAATCCAACCAACCAAAAACAATGTTTTTAATTTAAATCTGTGAAAGGGTTTAAAAAAAAAGATTTATTGCTTACATTTATTTCTTAATAATTTCATGAGTACCTGATTCAATGATTAATAAAATAGTCATTCTCCAAATATGGCAGAAAAACTAATAGTGGTTTGCACAGTGTGCTTGAATTTGCTTATGCCTAGATGTGGTTATAGAGTTGCCTTGTTTTTGGCTCATTCCGACCTGGCCACAGATGACCTGGACTGAAGTTGGTGTTGTGTTAAATTGCTGTTAAGCAGGGGAATACCATGGTTCATCTACAGATGCCAGACCAGCTTACCAGCTGACAACTGTTAGGCTACATTTTTCTTTCTCATGTGTTTACAATCAAGACTGCCTGGATTGAGATCCCAGCTTCCTCACCTGCTATGAACTTAAGCAGTCAACTTGTCTGAACCTGTTTCCTCATCTGCAAAGTGCGGATAATTATAGTACCTATTTTAGAGGGCTCTTCTCAGGATTAAATACAAGTGAAGGGCTTGAAACAGAGTGACTGATCAAGTGTCTCTTTATGTTAACAACACTCTCATTAATTCATTCTCCACATATTTATTTTTGCACACCATGAAACTGTGGAAATGTATTCTCTTCAAATGACCAGGATCTGAATTTAAAACTCTGGCTGAACAGTACTTACAAAGGTTATAACAATAGTTGGCTTTTAAATACAAATTCATTTGCATTTTAAAACAACCAACATGACTACATTTTATTCAGTTCACACCCTTTTCCATTGGTTACATTGGGTTGAAACAATTAAAAACAACACAAGAACAGCTATTTAAAATATACAAGAAGGGCTTCCCTGGTGGCGCAGTGGTTGAGAGTCCACCTGCTGATGCAGAAAACACGGGTTCATTCCCCGGTCCGGGAAGATCTCACTAAGCCACACAGCGGCTAGGCCCGTGAGCCATGGCCACTGGGCCCACGTCCGGAGCTTATGCTCCGCAATGGGAGAGGCCACAACAGTGAAAGGCCCACGTGCTAAAAAAATAAAATAAAATATACAAGAAAACTAATTTACACCCCTCATTGACCTTTTTCCCTCCTCTCCAAAACTGGATAGTGCTATCAACTCCCCAGGGATATTTTTAGCTTCTAACTTTAGGCTGTGAGTTTTTTTGGTTTTTTTGCGGTACGCGGGCCTCTCACTGTTGTGGCCTCTCCCGTTGCGGAGCACAGGCTCCGGACGCGCAGGCCCAGCGGCCATGGCTCACGGGCCCAGCAGCTCCGCGGCACGTGGGATCCTCCCGGACCAGGGCACGAACCCACGTCCCCTGCATCGGCAGGCGGACTCTCAACCACTGCGCGACCAGGGAAGCCCTAGGCTGTGAGTTTTTTAATAAAAACTATTAATTCTCATCTGTCTGTTTCATAGGAGTGTCAGGATGATGAAATAAACTAAGGTGTGTGAAGAAAGTCTTTGCATTTCAGACTATTTCAGGAACGCTAGACAGTAGCAGCGGTTGATCGAGGAAAAAAGCAAAAACCTCGTAAAAACCACTATAGAGCATTTCGCCGTGAGAGTAAGTTTGACACTCTGAGGCTCCCGTAGTCAAGCTCGCCTTAAGAAAAGATGGCGCCGCCGGCCGAACTACCCATGTGCTGTTTCCGGTCGTACTCGGAAGCACGACTCCCAGCCGTAGCTGGGACTATCGGCAACTGCGAGCGGTGTGAGTTTTCTTAAAACTGCTCGTCTCGGAGCCAGTAAGCAGCTAACATGTCTAGCAGAAACAATAACAAGCTGCCCAGCAACCTGCCGCAGTTACAGAATCTGATCAAGCGAGACCCACCGGCTTACGTGGAGGAGGTAGGAATGCGGCGCGGTGAGGCTAGAAGCCGGGACGTGGCTGGTTGAGACAGTGGCTGGAGGGAGGCGTGGAGTGGAGCAGGGATCCTGGCTCGCCTCGTGTTCTGCTCTTAAGTTCAGAGGTTCCTCGAGAGGAGAAAAGGGGTTAAGGGAGAGACATGCCACAGGGTTCGTTCCCCACCTTTTGAAATCTGCTGCCCGTCTGGGTTTTCTGCCTGCTCCATAGACCCTGCTGCCACAGAAACACCATTTAAAAGATCTCATTTTTGCTTTAGGGATTATCTCCCGACCTCACTGAGGGGTCGAGAGACAAATGGTCCACCCCCAACCTCTGACTTCCAGACAGGTTTCTCAGGCCTTTTCTTTTCTGAAACCCCTAAATGGAATTAGTCTGTAACAGTGGATGAAACTTTTGTTTAGATTGTTTTCCACCGACGTCTGTTTCCGGGAGCCCGTGCTCGGTGCCATGGACTGTGTTGGGAAGGAGGGAGTATTCTCAATTATAAGGGACAGAAATAAGAGCTTAGTATTATCTAGTTAAAAAACAGGATTCAGTCTCATCGGAAGCTGGCATGACCTGGATGTGAGAATTTACCTCAGGAAAAGATGAAGTTGAAAATTAGATTAGGTCCAGACCGTGAGGGGCTTTGTATACTGACCTCATACAAATTGTGAACATTAAAGGTGTTTGAGCTGAGAAGTGACAAAATGAAAGTGATGATTTTGCTACATTATTTTGGCAAGTGCTTTCTTCAGACACCCATTTTTCTGACCGGCATTAAACAGGTATTTGCTTCAGTTACTTGTATGTGCAGATGGCTAACACAATTATTCATCTTTTGATTGCCCTTCTCATTTCCCTCCTCCCCCAGATTTTCACATAGAAATATTTATGTGAATACATTTTAACAAATAGCGGTCTCAGTGGTTTAGGTTACCAGTAGAGAGAGACTTTCCAAAGTTTCAAGGGAGTGGAAACAAAGACTAAGGAACAAATACAAGAAGTTAAGTAATATAGGTGAGGCTTTGAGATGTGTAAAGCACTGTAAACCATTGGCCAAAGTACTAGCTGAGACTCTGTACAGCGCTGTATTTAAAAGCAATGGTTTCAAAACTAACTCCGTATCCCGGCCTAACTGTTGACCAATTGTGTAACCAGAGAGGGTTAACCACTTGAGCCTACGTGTATTTTAATATGTGAGAAGGAGATAATACCTACAGAGGATTACTGTTTCATTCACTTAACAAATATTTATGCAAATTCACACATATTGTACCTCAATTTGGAGCTCACTGAACCAGTTAGGGCTGGTAATATAAAGAAATACTCATTCTTGGGGCTTCCATTGTGGTCCAGTGGTTAAGACTCCACGCTCCCAATGCTGGGGGCCTGGGTTCAATCCCTGGTCAGGGAACTAGATCCCGCAGGCCACAGCGAAGCTCCCACGTGCTGCAACTAAGACCTGGAGCAGCCAAATTTAAAAAAAAAGAAAGAAATACTCATTCTCCTTCTGAGTATCTCTCTCCCCCTCCCCTCCCCTTCCCCCTCTCCTCCTTTCTCCCTATCACTCTATCTAACGCATATACACATAGTTTAAAACCGTGGCCTAGGCATGAGAGTAGCTGTAGGGTGTGGAACTGAGGCCTTGTGAGTTCCAACATTAGATTGTTGGATTGTTGTTAGGATTAAACATAATTAAAACATAAATTATTAAACATAATTAAACATAATTAAATAATTACATGATGAGTTTGGCACTTAGCAAGTGCTGAATAAATGGAAGCTATTATTATTTCTGTGTGTCTATTGCTTTTGCCTGTTAACACATCTTATCTAGAACTCCAGGATAAAATCATAATTATTATTTAAAAGAAGGGGAATTTTGACTGGAGAGCTTTGTGTACTTGAATTATAATTTACATTTTCTGACTCACATATTTCTGCAGATACTAGTGCTCTATATACATGGACAATATAGTAGGGGGTCATTTAGATAGTAAATGGCAGTAGAGAGCCAGATCTGAATTTTTGACTCTTGTTTCACTGTTCTTTATACCTTACTACCTAAATTTCTAATGATAAGGGAAAGGGTCTTTAGATTACCCAAAATGTGCGCAGATTTTTCAAAACTCATTTTGAAGAATTCTGATAAGGAAAACATAGTGTTTCTACATACCTTTGCCACATCTTTGTCTCAATGCCATTATCAAAGATTTCTAAGTAATTTTTAATTCTCTACTGAGAAAGTCTTATAATAGAAGGTGACCAATTTAAATTTTATTTTTCTACAGTTTCTACAGCAGTATAATCACTACAAATCCAATGTGGAGATTTTCAAATTACAACCAAATAAACCCAGCAAAGAACTGGCAGAGCTGGTGATGTTTATGGCACAGGTAAGAAGATAATTTTTGAGTAAAACGAAGACCAGTTGTTGCACACAGCTTGCAGAATATTTTTCACTTATACCCAACCTCATTCCATTCAGGAGTGGAAACTTAATTTAAAAAAGAAAATTAATTTTCCCTTTTTGCAGATTTTATTTCCTCCTTATGTTCAGCTAGAGGATTTCACTAGAGCTTTTCACAGAACCAACCGGAGCAAAAAAGCTTTCAAACTATTTGTTTTCTTCAAATTCATCATAAAAACAGATTCTGAATCATGTCACATACTTTACTAAGACTAGAGGAAATATGAAAGGGGTCAGAGAGATTAGCATGTAGAAGAAAAATAGGTGGTTTGGAGCCATCTACTTCTGTGAAACATAGCCTTTTATTCTCCTTTTGCAGAACATCCTTAATATGTGCATATGAATTATAGGAGAGAAAGAAAAACTTCAGAAGAGCCTTTGCTTTGTTACAGATTGGTCAGTGTTATCCAGAACATTTAAGTAACTTTCCTCAAGAGCTGAAAGATCTTCTCTCCTACAACCACACTGTCTTGGATCCAGATCTCCGAATGGTAGGACCAGTAGTTGGATTGATAAATTGTGCTGTGTTCCCGTGTGCGTATAATATGTGTTTAAAGGAGAACAGCCTGTCATCTAAACATCTTTCTAAAATGTAAATCAGTGTGTCACCCATACCTTAAAATCCTTCTGTGGCTTCTCATTTACACAGAATAAAACTCAAACTTATTAACTTAGCCTGTAAGTCCCTACATGATTTGCTTCCTTCCTGTGTTTTTGACCTCATTTACTTTTCTGCTGCACTCCTCTCTCTGACCTCTCAGTTCTACCAGTATGCTAACCCTGCCAAGATGCTCTTTTCCCTTTTTTGATTAGGTGATTCCTTCTAGTCATTCAAATCTCAAATGCATGAAGAACCCTAATTATAACCTATAGTTTTTATAAAGCTTAGTTTAGACATTTATCTATTAATTGGCCAGTTTGAGCATTTAAACATTGTTACCTTAGTGATTGACATTGGGTCCTGTCTGGGATCCCCTTTACCAGGCTAGTGCTCCCATTTCCCCCACCCGCGGGGAATGTTGGCTGCTAATGGCCCCCAGCTGCCCTTTCTCTGGAGCACTGTCTTCAGCTAAATGGGAGCCCTAGCACCTGGGAAGTGGCCCTCCCAGCCCACAGGTGGTATCTGACTAACCCAGAGGTTCAAAAGCCCAGCCCTTCCCAAGGTCCAACTTTGTGTTGCAGTTTGTGCTCCAGGGCTTCTCTGTAATCAGACTAAAGCTAGTCTCCAGCCAAGGACACATCCTTGCCCAGCTTTTCTCTGCCCTATCCTGCCTCTTTCACTTCCCTTGTAGAAGAGAGCACACCCTGGACAGACCTCTGTAATAAACTGGGTTCTGCTTCTAGGGAACCCAACCAGAGGCATTTTCAAATCTTATATATCAGCTTTTCAAACACCTTTACAGCTGGTAGAACTTACACAAATATTATGATCTCAAAACCTACTAATATCCTTTACCAAAACTTATAAAAATGCTAAGTCTGTAGGTTCAACTTTGTTTCTTATTCTTGCATTTTCCCAGGCTTTCTGTAATTCTTCAATTTTTATACATTTCTAGGATTATCTTAATTTGTTCTGGCCAAAAAAAAAAAAGAATACCATCTCAGACAAGCCAAGGTTGGAGTCTCTGATTAACTCTCAGTTGGGACATGGGACCTGGCAGCACAGCCTAATAGGCTTCAAACTTGAACCATTACAGAAGACTTACCTATAGGTCAAGACTTAGGTCAAGTCCTTGTGGGCCGTACAGATTGGAGATTTTGAGTGTGGAGACTTAGTGTCTTTCCAAGTAATTAGGTCTTCTTTAAGTTTTGTGTGCTAACAGTACCCAACCAGATCGGTCTGCAGGCATTATTAAATAACTAAATGTGTGTGTATATTTCTTTATAGTGTTTTATGATGACTAGTGGGTTTTTAAAAATAATTAGGACGTTGCTAGGAAGCAAGGGATTGAGTCTGTATAATTAGCATTCGTTTTTAGAGTGTACTTGTGAAAGTTGGTGGTAAGCAAGGGTGCTACAACTACCATTGGGCCGTTCTTACTACAAACTGTATTTCAAAAGAATGCCTTGTAAGGTCACAAATTCAGTTTGATTATCCCAATTTAGTGTGTTATGTTATTGTAACCCACCTTTCTTATCTCTGTGGATTTACTGATCACTGCGTTTTTCTATGTTGACCCTTCCTTGACCTCCTGTGTAAAGGAGCCTTCCTGCAGTCACTATGTATCAATGATATTACCCTGTTTTATTTCCTTCCTATATGAGGTATACCTGTTGATATGCTTACTTGCTTGACTGTCCCCTCTTCTGCTCCACCCCCAGTGTAAGCTCCATGAGGGCAGAGTCTGACTGTTCTGTTGCCATGCCTAGAATAATGCCTAGTTAGTAGAAGACATTAAGTGCTTTTGGGATATACTTGCTCCATTTTCTCATCCTAACTTTATCATTATCTTATAGTATGTTTCTTTTTCCTTCCTGAGACATTTTGCAAAGCTTTGATCTTGCTGAGAAATAAGAATCTCATCAATCCATCAAGTTTGCTAGAACTCTTCTTTGAACTTCTGCGTTGCCACGATAAGCTTCTTCGAAAGGTAAAGAGCAAAATCACTCCATACCTCATTCTTCCTTGCAGTAACATGAAACGTATAGCATTTGGAGTCTCTTGATGCTTCATACTATTGGATACAGCTAAGAATAATTTTGATAGGAAAAAAATTGACCGTTGTGTGCATGCAATATAATGGTGATAGCTAACATTTATTGTTTACTTTTTGCTAGGTTACCATTTTCAGAGCATTTTACGTATTCGTTTACTCACAAAGTGCCATGAGATAGGGGTTATTGTTGTTGTTATTTTATAGATGAAAAGGCTGAGGCACAGAGAGAGAGAGTGATATTCCCAGGGTCACACAGCTTCTGAGTGGTGAGGCAGGAACATAAACCCAGGGAACCTGGCTCCAGAACCCAAGCCCTTTTCTGCTATGCTGCACTGACCAGCTAAATCAGAGCATGGACTGCACACTCGTGGCTGTAACCACTCCCAACCTCTTCCCCCCAAAACTGACTTTTTTTGTTATTAATATTTCCCTGTGACTTTGTGTTTGCTTGTATAAGTAAGACCAGAAGTTGAAGATTTATAAAGAATTTTAAGAAACAGAAACTAAAGTTTACATACATTAACTTAAAAAAAATTTTTTTTTTTTTCCAAAATATTAAGAGACTGCAACCATTTGATTTTAGCAGTTGTACTTCTTGGACTAACTTGTGAATAAAAGTGATCCAGGGGAGCATATTTTGGGTACCATTGATATTTGTAAAAATCCCAATATTGTCTTACATGCAGTTAGGGGCTTGGACTTTCCTTTTTATTTTTTTAATTTATTTTTTTTTAATTTTTTAAAATTTATTTATTTTTGGCTGCGTTGGGTCTTCATTGCTGCGTGTGGGCTTTCTCTAGTTGCGGCGAGCGGGGGCTACTCTTTGTTGTGGTGCTTGGGCTTCTCATTGCAGTGGCTTCTCTTGTTGGGGAGCATGGGCTCTAGGGCACACGGGCTTCAGTAGTTGCGGCACACAGGCTCAGTAGTTGTGGCTCGCGGGCTCTAGAACGCAGGCTCAGTAGTTGTGGCACACGGGCTTAGTTGCTCCGTGGCATGTGTGATTTTCCCAGACCAGGGCTCGAACCCGTGTCCCCTGCATTGGCAGGCGGATTCTTAACCACTGCGCCACCAGGGAAGCCCCGACTTTCCTTTGTAAGAACAAAACAAAACAAAACAAAAAAAGCAAATGTATTGAGATGTAATTCACAAACAATGCATCCATTTAAATGTACAATTCAGGGGTTTTTAGTGTAGTCACAGAGTTTTGCAACCATCACCACAGTCAGTTTTAGAACACTTATAGCACCCCCAAAAGAAACCCCATTCCTATCAGCAGTTACTTTCCATTTTCCCATCTGTCCCAGCCCTAGGCAACCACCAATGTACTTCTGGTCTCTATAGATTTGCCTACTCGGGATAGTTCATGTAAATGGAATCATATAATATGTAATTGTTTTGTGACTGCCTTCTTTCACTTAGTGAAAGTGAAAATTAAGTGAAAACACTTAATGTTTTCAAAGTTCATTCATGTTGTAGCATATGTAAGTATTCATTACTTTTTGTTGCCAAATAATATTTCATTGTCTAGTTATACCATATTTTGTTTATCCACTCATCAATTAGTGGACATTTGGGTTGTTTTCACTTTCTGGCTGTTATGAATAATGCAGCTATGAATATTTGAACATCAGTTGGAAATTTATTTTCATTTCTTTTGGATATATAACTAGGAGTGGAAATGTTGGGTCATATAACTTCATATTTAACTTTTTGAGGGTAACTTTCATTTTGCTTTACCTGCTTTTTTTTGTTTGTTTTATTTGTTTTTGGTCTCTTTTGTGATAGAATGAAAAGTGGGCAAAATTAAATCCTCCAGTACATTTATATTTCTCTCCAAATTAGGCAAGGTTAGAAATGTTGGTTAATGTGTATATGTTTTTGTTTCTTTTCCTCAGACTTTATATACTCATATTGTGACTGATATCAAGAATATAAATGCGAAACACAAGAACAATAAAGTGAATGTAGTAAGTACCCTTTTGTTTTCCATGTTTGCAGCATTGTACTACAGTATCGTGCAGTTTAAGTCTTCTTTCTCCTCTTTTTCTTCAGGTATTGCAGAATTTCATGTATACCATGTTAAGAGATAGCAATGCAACTGCAGCCAAGATATCTTTGGATGTGATGATTGAACTCTACAGAAGAAACATCTGGTAATATCTATGTACCTGTCTCTTTCGAAATAGTCTTTTATTCATTTGTAATTACCACAGAACACATACACAAATATTTTTCTTGATTTTGAGCCCTTTAATATATCTCTGCCATAGATTAGGTTGGAAGTAAAACTATGGAGGCAATCCAAATGACTAATAACAATATTGACTACCATTTCTTGAGCACTTGCACTATGCCTTACCTCATTCAACCTTCAGAACAGTGTAATGTAGCTTATTTGGGATCATTCCCACCTTATAGGTAATGAAACCCATAGGTTCATAAGTTTAAGTTTAGTAGCTAGTAAAAGGCAGAATTGAAATTCAAACCCGATCTGTCTGACTGAAATTCGGGCTCTTTCTACTCTGCCTCTCTGAAGATTTTCAAATCCATTTACCTTATATACTTAAATTATCATGTTTCATAAACTTTGGCTTGTTGGTACAGTGTCCCAACTCATGTCTTTTGCTTTTCTTATTCACTAATTTTGATAATATTCGTTGCAGCAGAAGATTTGGAGAAGCTAGAAAGTTTTTTTTTTTAATTATTGATAGTCCCACCCCCTAGAGATAATCAGTTAATATTTTATACTATTTCCTCCTGTCTTTTCTTTAATGTGAATTTTAAAGTGTGGTTGGAATTTTGCTGTATTGTAGTTTTTTATTGGTTTTTTATTCCGCCCCCAGTTATCTTGAGTAGGTTTTATGTCATTAAAAATTCTTCAAAAAATACACCTGAATGGCTGCATAATTTTCTGACACAAGACTGGGCTAAAATTGAATTAAATGTTTGCCTGTAGTTGACTATTTAGCAACCCTTGACTTTTTGAAATATTACAAACTATGAATTTTAACATGTCAGAAATATTTATTTTGTGCCATTGTCTGTGCTGTCAAATACAGTCGAATGAAAATTCACTTTAAAACATTCAACTGTCTTCCCCCAGGAATGATGCCAAAACTGTCAATGTGATCACCACAGCATGTTTCTCTAAGGTCACCAAGGTGAGCACGTGTACGGCTGCGTGAAGGCACTGTCTGTGAGTAGCCCGCTTCTCCAGCTAGAAGGTGAAGGAGATGGGTGTGCGAGGAAGAGGTGGTGTGCGGACGTGCTGCTCGTGCTTAGGCTGCTTCCCTGGTTTATCTGCGCTTTAGAGGAGTCACGCAAAATTATGAGTTTTTAAAATGCTTGGTATTAAACGATAGCCTTAGCGTTTATCTTGTTTTCCTCTGTAATTCTTGACTGCTCTTTTATTGGACTCAGGCACAGCTGAAAGAAATTTAAGGACATGTTTGACTTTCTGTTAGAGGGGCTATATCACTTTTCTTGTGGGGGGATGTAGAAGTTCCTGACTTCCTACTTGAAGGATAACAACTGTGTAGAGCCGGGCTAAGACAGATGAGCCCAAATCCTACCATTCTTTGTTTTTTTTTTTTTTCTTCAGATCCTAGTTCATATGCATGTGTAAAATATAGACAAAAGTATTTATTCTTTGTTGTAAGCTGGGATGAGTAATTAACTTTGAATTGGTCTTTAGATATTAGTTGCTGCTCTGACATTCTTCCTTGGAAAAGATGAAGAGGAGAAACAGGACAGTGACTCAGAATCTGAGGTTAGTTTAACCATAGATACTTCTGAACTTTACAGTTTAGCAGATTTTATTATTGTTTTCAGTATAGATTGTAAAAGTTGGAAAGAAACTTAGATGCCACCTTTATCCTTTATTGAGTTCTGCCATGCTGAGATTTTATTCTATTTAGAACTTGTCACTTACATTCAGAAAGATTGGTTAAGTAACTAATAAAACTTAGATTCATTCAACCTTGTTCTTGGGCTAAAGCTATACCTATATCTCACTATATGAACTTAGAATAAAAATTACTGCCAATATATTTTTGAGGTTGAGTGTTGACATCATGGAAGTTTAGAGTGGAGAAAGGGAGAAGGGTAGTACAGCATCTTTAAAAGGAAGAATCAGGATTTATGATGTCATGAAATTTTCTTTATTAAAAAATATTTTTTATTAATATTAAAAAGAAATTCCCTTCCCATTTTAACATTTTGGTAACAAGAGTACTAGAATATGGGATAACACCTTTTGTTATTACTTTAGTAAATAATGTATGAACAATACATTCTTAACTGTATAAAATTTCAGATACTATAGATAAAAGTTATCTTGATCCTTTCTTATTTCCACTTGCCAGTTCCTTCTTCATAGGTAACCATTTCGTTTCCCATGCATTTCTGTGCGGATGTGTATACATATTGTCTTATGTGTGTGGTCTGTTTTTAAAACATATAAATAATATATGTATTATTTTGCAACCTGCTTCCTTTGTGATGACATATATAGATGTACCAGTGCATTTAGATATTCTTCTACTAGTACATATAGGTCTACCTCATTCTTTTAACCTCCACATAATATTTCAGAATATGGATGTACTATAGTTTAAGCATTTTCCTATTGATAAATATTTGTTTCCAGTTTCCTTTTTCAAATAAAAACAAAGTTGCATTCTCTCTGTATATTAATACTTCAATAAGAACTAAAAGCAAAATAAAAACAAAAGTCAGTGTTGCAGTGAAAATCTTTGTATGAGCCTGTTCCTGCAGATGGGCAAATTTGTTTTTTATTGAATTTTTAAAGTTGTGTTTATTTTTCATAGCTGCATGCAAAGAGTATAAGTACAAAGAAGTGATTAAAAGGGTTATTCCTTGCTTCTATGCAGAGTTTCCTTGTTTATAGTTTTACAAAGTAGTTTATTCTTCAGGATGAAGGACCAACAGCAAGAGACCTGCTAGTGCAGTATGCCACAGGGAAGAAAAGCTCCAAAAACAAGAAAAAGTTGGAAAAGGCTATGAAAGTCCTCAAGGTGAGACTTGTACCTGGGAAATGAGATAGGAATCATTAGAATGCAGAATATGTGTTCTTTAGAAAAGCTTTTAAGCATTTGGAATAGAGAAAATAGCATTTTGAAAGACTTAGAAATGTGTGATGACTTTTTAAGCACTAATTTTTTAGATGAATAAATGTTTTCAGCTCTAGCAAGATCTGTGGCTTGAATAAATTAATTTGATTAAATTCATTTGTTTTGATCACGATGTCTTCTCAGAAGAGTATGCAAATGAAGTACATTTTGTTTTGTAATAATTATTTGAAAGTCATTAATTTGGTCCTTGTGTGTTTTTTAATGTTCATATTTCCAAATCTCTTTAAGTCTCACAGGTGCTAATAGCTAGGACTTTTTGGCTGCATTGGGTCTTAATTGCTGTGCACAGGCTTTCTCTCGTTGCGGCGAGCGGGCGCTACTCTTCGTTGCAGTGCGCAGGCTTCTCATTGCAGTGGCTTCTCTTGTTGTGGAGCACGGGCTCTGGGCACACAGGCTTCAGTAGTTGTGGTGTGCAGGCTCAGTAGTTGTGGCACATGGGCTTAGTTGCTCTGAGGCATGTGGGATCTTCCCAGACCAGGGATCGAACCCGTGTCCCCTGCATTGGCAGGCAGATTCTTAACCACTGCGCCACCAGGGAGGTCCCCAAGGTTTAATCTTAAAAACCACCTTTAGTTCTTCTAGTTGCAAGAAAGGTTTTTGGAACAAAGATTTTTTTTTTTTTCTTTTTAATTAGTGTGATGGGGACTTCCCTGGTGGTCCAGTGGTAAAGAATCCACCTTCCAATGCAGGAGACATGGGTTCAGTTGCTGGTTGGGGAACTAAGATCCCACATGCCACGAGGCAACTAAGTCTGCATGCCACAACTATTGAGCTCGCATGCCTCAATGAGAGAGCCCGTGTGCTGCAAACTACAGAGCCCACATGCTCTGGAGCCCATGCACCACAACTAGAGAGAGAAAACCCACGTGCCACAACTAGAGAGAAACCCGAGAAGACTGCATGCCGTAAGGAAAAGATCCCGCATGCCTAAACAAAAGATCCAGTGTACTGCAACTAAGACCCGATGCAGCCAAAAAAAAAAATAAGGAAAATAAATAAATATAAATGGTGTAATGGGCTTGATAACAGCCTTTAGCACATTAGCACATTTAATCCCAAGGGCCTTTTCACTGTAATTCAGAATGTAAATGTTTTCCTCTCCCTTTCTTTCAGAAACAAAAGAAGAAGAAAAAACCGGAGGTGTTTAACTTTTCAGCTATTCACTTGATTCATGATCCCCAAGGTACTATAATTATGACCTCCCAAGTTCCTTGTTGGCTTTATCTGCCTATTTAGATTCCTACCTTCAAGGTTACCAGGGAATATAAAATCCTTGGCACTTAATAGACAATCAGTAAATGCTTAGTTGTTACCTATTGGTTGTAGCCTAGAGAATTCTATTCCAAAGCAGTGATTCCCAATCCACAGCAAAATAAGAAAAATATAGAGGAACAGCTCTCTTTGCAATTCATGTCTTTAATAACACAGTACTTGTACTATAAGACATTGTGCTTGACCAAATGAAAAATTGACAATCTTTTATTAGTCCCTTTTTTTTTTTAACTGGTATGTGGAAACCAAAAGTTTGGGAAACCCTGTTCTAGAACACTAGTTCTCAAACTAGAGTGCACATTGGAATCACTTGGGGAATTTATAAAACTATACTGGTACTTGGGTCCTGTTATTTCCAGAGACCGATTAGGTGATATGGGGTATGGCTGGGCAGTGGGGCTTTTAAATGCTCTCTATATTTTAGTTTTAGTTTGCTGACGCTTCCTCTAGGTCCGTGTTTCTCAGACTTTAAGGCACATACTGATCACCTTGGGATCCTGTTAAAGTACAGATTCTGTCTGATTCAGTAGGTCTGGGGGTGGGGCCTGCAGTTCAGTATTTCTAACAAGCTATTAGGTGGACAGCTGCTGGTGGTCTGCAGACCACACTTTGAGAAGCAGGGCCCCAGAGAACTATAAGTGGAGCATCTGTCAACAGTAACTCAAGATGTTGATGCTAAAAATCTTGGAAATCCTTAAGACTTATCTTTGGGCACCACTGAAGGTATATTTGCCCGTGTGTGAGTCTTTTCACCTTCGGTCATGCCGCTGTGTTTACCATCCTGGTTCTGCAGAGTGATTTCAGGCACAGCCATACCAGAGTCAGTGATCAAACTACTGCTTTTCTCTACACCTGCTAGATTATGTTGTATAGACCATGGGCCCACAGTATACTTCTCTGATCTTCTCCTTTCTAGATTTTGCGGAAAAACTACTGAAGCAGCTAGAGAGCTCTAAGGAGAGGTTTGAAGTGAAGATGATGCTCATGAACCTCATCTCCAGATTGGTGGGAATTCATGAGGTTTGAATTACATTATGTTTCTCTTGATGGATATTAGAAGTAGAATTTTTCTTGGTAAAAGGGCACTAAGGTAGAGCAGTGGCTTAATTTTACCCTCCCAAACCATTTAAACCCATACAGTTTACAAAGGGATAAAATCTTTCACTCTGAAAATAGCTGTTTTTGTCACTTTGTTTTCTTATCACTTAGTATGGATGTTGAATTGTACATGTATTCAGTTTATGGACAGACTATTTTTGTTCTGTCTTTCTACTTTTTATTTTATTGTATCTGTGTTTCACTTACACATTTTCCTGAGCCAACAGAGCCCACATATTTTTATCAACTGTTATTACATTTCACAGTTTACCCCTTCATAGCTTTCCTGACTTCCAGCCCACTCTAGCAGGAGGATCATGTTTGCAAAGCTGAATTCTCTGGTCATTCACTTTATATTAAATTAGACTGCAAGAGCTCCTTGGTGGTATAATGTATATATATTGTGTATACATATGGAAACCTCACACATACTCAGACTAACTGCCATTGTAGAAAAGGAAGGATTCCCAGAAATTCAGCCCGTGAAGAAATGACCGTTGAGGTTGTTCTCTATAGTTTTGCTCTTATAACTAGTGCTGTTCTGATCATCACTGAATGTGTTGCTTTCTTCAAAAAAAAAAAACAAGAAGTAAAACAGGCTCCTTCATGGAAAATCAAACAGTATAGACTTATATCAAGTTAAAAATGAACAAATGCACTTATTCCATTTCTCTAAGGAAAACTTAATATTTTGGTGAATAAATTGCTTTTTCTACATGGGCTGCAGTTCTAAAGCAGGATTACCAGGTCAATTCTTGTTATATTTGTGCAATAATTTCAAGTCATACCTGAATCTGAGCTCAGTGGAAAAGCAGAAGTGATTCTTAATTCAAGCATGGTTTGATGGAAATGATACTGGAGTTTCACATCTGGCTACAGTTGAACACCCATCTCTGTATTGAACCCAAGTCTTCCCTTTTACTTCTCTGGTCCTGGTTTTGCTCTGTGGCTAAAATAGAAAAAAATTTATTCTCACATGATGATCTTTGAAAAAGACTAGGCCATCTCCAGAGTTTCTCTTCTTGAAGTTAAAGATTACAATTGTTTTAATAACTGGATCCTTGTCTCCTTTATCTAGGTAGACTCCAGAGTGTTAGTGGTTTCTGTCTAAAATATGGAGCTCAGAGTAATTCCTCCAGTGTGGTTGGACTGGTATCCCATAACAAAACTAGACTGTGGGTTTTTTGGTGATCAGATTACACTAGGCACTATTCAGATTTGAGTTACTATTATCTTTGAAGACTAAAAAATTGGTTCTGCAGCCACACCAATTTAAAAGTAGAAGAAAGTTGCTTTTTGACTGCCTTTTCACCCCCTGGTTTATTCTGTGTACACTTTCTTCTTCCTTGACATTATAGGATAGCAACAAGGCCTTCCTTTCTTTGGTTAATACAGCACATTGAATCATCCTGTAGCATGAATGCTGTTGAGAAAAAAAGAAAGTAAAAAAATGATTCCCAGTTAGTTGAGCTTGGTGATATAATTGCATCATGGAGAAATGAAACTCCACAGCTCAGCCAGATATATATTAAAGTCAGTGCATTCTTCTTTCCACAGCTTTTTCTCTTCAACTTCTACCCCTTTGTGCAGAGGTTTCTGCAGCCCCACCAAAGAGGTAAGGCTTCCACTTGCCGTGTTCCTTTGGTGGCCTTGGGGTTAACCATCCAGAGTCTTTTGTTCTGGAATTAATACTAAAGACAAGAGTTAGGAGTGAAGGGTGTTCTGCTTCAGAGACAAGGAGAGAAACCTGTATGTTTTCTTTCCAGATTCTGCCATGAGGTAATTGTTCTGCTCATCAACTTGAAGAAATAATTATTTGAGGGGGGGAAAAACACCAAAACAAAATGTTGGTTTCTCAAAGCAAGTCTTTTTGTAATACTATAAATACTCATGTGAAAAATTCTAAAAAAGAATTTTGACTATTTATTGTAACTTCATTATAGATACCAGGGTTTAACTTACTGCTTTCATTGCCCTCATTTATATTCTTAATTAAAAGCAACGTGAAAGCAGGAAGGAAGAGATGGTTGTTTTTGCCTTTGAACTTGAACCAGGGTAGGAAAGAAACGAACATTTATTGATCATTCAACGTGAGCCAAGCACTGTGCTAAGTACTTTACATACAGTCATCTCATTTAATCCTCACTTCAATCCTGAGAGGTGTAGAAAGAAAAAAGAAAAAAAGACCAAGATCACTCAGCAAACAGTGGCTGGTTAGGCTTCACCTCACTCCTTTGTTTTGCCAGAGGCCTTGTTCTTTATCCATACTGCCCCTTTAAAGGGAGAGTGTGCGTATATATGTGTTTGTACTTACTCATTGATTGAGTGACTTCTAGCCTGAGCACTGCATTAGACACCAGTGAACACAAAGTAACATCCTCACCTTCATAGAGCTTACATTCTAGAGGAAGATCCACAGAGTGCTGTGTGTAATATGTCCAGGTGACGGGAAGTATTTTGAGGAAAAAGGAAGCAGGTGAGGACAGTAGGGAGTGCTGGGGTGGGTTCTGTCTAGATTATGTGGTCAGGAAATCACTTTGATAAGGCAGCAGTTAAGCAGGGCCAGGAGGAAGCGAGGCAGTGAGCTGTGCAGATGTTGGGGGTTGGGTGCTGGGGCAGAGCAAGCAGCAGTAGCATTATGGCCAGCGCGTGCTGGCCATGTTTGCCGTGCTCCTGAGGGCAGGGCAATAAACTGACTGTGGCCATTCCCATCTCTGACCTTTTTAGAAGTAACGAAGATCCTTCTGTTTGCTGCACAGGCATCTCATCACTTAGTACCCCCAGAGGTGAGAACTCTTAAACTTTCCTTCTGTCAGGATCTAGTGCATACGTAGCCCTGCCACTAAGTATATCATGGTGGCTTTTCCCACAGGGATTACCGTCCTCCCTGCCTTTTTGAAACTGAGTAGAAGAGACACTAGCTCTTAAGGAGATATCCATAGCAGTTTACTCATAGAAGTAAAAACATTTTACTGTAGAAAGTAAAGTTTATTTTGGACAAGTTGTTGAGAATTCTGGTTTTGTTTAATTGCCAAATTTTATGCTGGGGAGGGCAAGAATATCAGTGAATTTATAGTGATTATTATTCAAAACTGATCATTTCTTTCTTTGATTCAAATAGTGTTGGAGGATCGTGGGTCAAAGCAATTTTTAATCCATGTTGAGAACTAATATTAAAGGCGAGCCAAATTTAATCTGAGGATAGCTAAGAAGAAGGCTGAAACCCAGAGTGGAGTGTTTTTCTCAGTCTTCCTCAGTCTTGATCCTTCCAACTCCCAAACCGAAGGTGGAGGGCTGTTTTTCCACTGTAATAGTTTATGGTCCCTTCATCGTCAAGCGTTTGAGTAGGTGTAGACGTTTTACCAGCACTCATATCCTTTCTCTCCCTCCTGCTCAGATCGTGCAGTCATTGCTCATGACTGTGGCCAACAATTTTGTAACCGACAAGAACTCTGGAGAGGTCATGACAGTAGGGTATGTAGAATGTGGCTGTAGGCAGTGGGTATGGTCGTAACACACTGGGTTTGCTTTCCATTACCAGGATGTAAAATTTCATCTATAATGTGCTCTCTGCAAAAACAGTTTAAAGTACACTTCAGTCTTCTCAGCAGGCTTGCTGTTTTTAATTTATTGGTCAGAATTTTGAGCCAGAGAAAAGATATTTGCCCTTCTAATCAACATTTTGTTTTTTAACTAGCTTTCCCTCTTTCAAATGAATGCTTGTGTGGCAATCTAAATGTTTTTCTTCTGTCTTCTACCCTGAATTCCTATCTTCCCTGGAACAAATGATTCGTTATGGAATCATTTTTTAATCCCAAGGCGGTTCAGTGGCCCTTTTGATTAATTCAAAAGCACTTAATGAGTGTGAGCACTAATTTAAGGACGACTCATCTGTCCTAATAACTAAGCAGTATGCTGAACGCTGCTTTGTATCTCCCTTGGAAAATATTGCTGGGATAACAGCCCTAAAGACCTTTAACTTTTCCTTATTTGACCTAGTACTATCTCCCCTAGAGTGGGCGAATAAATGCTGCTGTCATATACAGGCACACTTCCTTTTATTGCCCTTTGCTATATTGCTCTTCACAGTTACTGTGTTTTTTTACAAATTGAAGGTTTGTGGCAACTTTGTGTGGAGCAAGCCTATTGGTGACATTTTTGCAGCAGCATTGGCTCACTTCATGCCTCTGTGTAACATTTTGGTAATTCTCACAATATTTCAAACTCTCCACCAGCAAAAAGATTATGTCTCACTGAAGGCTCAGATGAAGGTTACATTTTTAGCAATAAAGGATTTTTTAATTAAGTTACGTACTTTTTAAGACATAATGCTATTGTACACTTAATAGACTACAGTATAGTTAAACATAATTTTTGTATGTACTAGGAAACCAAAAGATATGTGTGACTCACTTTATTGCAGTGGTCTGGAACCAAACCTGCAATATCTCTGAGGTGTGCCTGTATTTTACAGAGATGACACTGTTTCTTATTCTTCTAATAGAGGAAATGGCAGTAAACTGTCTGGAATCAAAGCCCTCTGAGGCTCCCCACCCTCACACTCTACCATGCTGCAGTTTTAAAGACCTAAGACCTATAAAACCCAACTTATGTTCCTTTTGATTTAGTCTTTTTAGAAAATATTCTTAGGTTGAACCACATGAAACTGCTGGGGGGTTTTTGTTTGTTTGTTTGTTTTAATTTATTTTTTTCCTTTTTTTAGAATCAATGCTATAAAAGAGATAACAGCTCGATGTCCTCTAGCCATGACTGAAGAACTTCTCCAAGACCTGGCTCAGTATAAAACACACAAAGATAAGAGTAAGTGGTGTGTTATTCTCAGTAGATCAAAGAGTACAGAGTAATTCGTTTTTACCTCAATAGACTCTTTGCTCTGAAGTTTCTAATTAAAGGTATTATTTTCCAGATGTGATGATGTCTGCTAGAACTTTGATTCAGCTCTTCCGAACACTGAATCCTCAGATGTTACAAAAGAAATTCCGGGTAGGTGAAGCATACATATGTTGATCAAGGATTTGGTCTCAGAAAGTGAGGGTAATTTCCTACAATTTGAGTTTGAGTATTTCTGATGCTTCCATTAGGAGTATTGGTGATACATGTAGTTTTATTCTTTAAGCTCAGAATAAAATTGGTTGAATACTTTTGCTTAACTGTTTTATAGTTGGTATATGCTGTTTGAGGATGAATGACTTTTACAGACCTGTTAGACTGTTTGAAGTCAGCAACTGATGGCAGCATTGAACAGGCTGTTCCCTAACCAGATACTACCTCTTTCAAGTTGGGACAAAGAAAGATGCATGTATGTAACAGAAGGAGAGATCTCGAGACTTAATTGACGTTTCCTGAGGTGGATCAGAAGAAAGCAAGAAGGGGCTTCCCTGATGGCACAGTGGTTGAGAGTCCGCCTGCCGATGCAGGGGACACGGGTTCATGCCCCGGTCCGAGAAGATCCCACATGCCGTGGAGCGGCTGGGCCCATGAGCCATGGCCGCTGAGCCTGCGCATCCGGAGCCTGCGCTCCGCAATGGGAGAGGCCACAACAGTGAGAGGCCCGCGTATCGCAAAAAAAAAAAAAAAGAAGAAGAAGAAGAAGAAAGCAAGAAAACAGTGGGCAAAGTTCTGGCTGGGGGATTTACTTTGACCCAAGACATTGGTGGACTGTTTCTGTCATTCGATTGCTTCCATTTTTTGTGATTCTCCCTCTCAATTCATAATCCTGGAGAATCCTTTTCATGAATAATGTTTTGCAGTTTAAGCACCTCATTAAAAACTACTTCCTTTCCTTTAGGGTAAGCCTACAGAGGCCTCCATAGAAGCAAGAGTGCAAGAATATGGAGAACTAGATGCTAAAGGTTACATTCCAGGAGCAGAGGTTCTGGAAGTTGAAAAAGAAGAAAAAAATGCTGAAGAAGATGAAGGTTCATTTTTGTTTCACCATTATTCAGGACAAAATCACTCCTGCTATATCTGTATTGATCTTGAAATCTTTATATTGTTTGGACATTCATTCAGCAGATGCTTCCTGGTAATGACTCTGTGCCACGCCCTGTTACGGGCACTGAAGGTCAAATGGGCATGGTCCTGCTCTGAGAGAATTTACATTCTGGTGTAGGAAATGCCTTTTCATGTCCTTCAGATTGGCTGCCCCTTATCAAGGGCATGCTGTTTGACACTTGGGAAAGATAATGGGTTTCTTTTGTTGCCTAGAAAAAAAATAATGAAGATTAGTCTATAGCAATCCTCCTGTTGAAGGAGAATGCTTGTTGAACTGGTCAAAGAATGCTTGAGGAACTCCATTCTCATTTCCAGGGTTAGCATTTACTGCATTGGTTGCTAGGGTCCTTTCTTCTTCCTGTTCATCCCTTCATTATTTCAACAAAACTTTCATAAGCACTAGCTATGAGCCAGCCACTGTCAAAGCCAAGATGAATGATATGGTTCTTGTCCTTGAGGGTCTCTCATAAACAGCTAATAAATCATCAACAGGATTTATGATTGGAGTGGGGTATAAGGGTTGGAGAGAGGTCAGGTCCACCTCAGAGGTTCAACAAAGGCTTCAAGGAAATGGTGACCCATGAGCCGTATTTGGAATGATTAGTGAGCAATGGTAGTATAGTGGAGACTTGCCAGGCAAACTGTGAGCAAAGTACTGAAGGGTTTAGGAAACTATTAGAATGTAGGATACAAGGTGATGCACAGAAGGCGATGAGACTAGAGATAGAGGTGGGGCCTCACGTGAGTGGCTGTGTAGGCCATGCCTAAGAGCTGGGACACTGTCTTGCAGAACATGGGCATCTGCTGAGAGACTGCAGGTATCCTTCATTTTGAAAGCTTACTGTGGTGGCTCCGTTAGGAACTCTGATACCTCTTTACTGGGGTGTCTACAAGGTTCTTATACAACCAAAAGTTTCTGCCTTGGTTCTCTGAATGACTTGTTTCTAACTAATTTCTCAAACGTATAAATGTGCTTAGACAAGTTAAATAACTTGTATGTGGCCACTGTAAATGTACAAGTACAGTTCTGATGGACATGGCTAGTTTGGTGGAAAGAATGTAGGCTCTAGAGTCATATATGATTTTCCTAATTTCAGTGTAGGCTGCATTTCTAGCAGTGTGGCCTGGGGCAGGTTACTCAACTCTGGACTCTATTCCTCTTTTGTTGAGTCACGAGGGTTAGAGAAAGATTGTAAAGTTTTGGTTCATGGTGGATAATCAGTGGTTATTCTCCATTCCTTGACTTAATTAAATTGATGTGGTTTATTTAACAATAATATTGCTCAATTCTTGGTGAGCATCTGTTTGAGGTTCATTACCTAAGTTTTCTTTTGCTCGATTTATCTCAGTGTACCATGAACACTCAACATAAAGTGGGTGCTAATGGGGTGCTCTTTTTCACACAGATGAGTGGGAAAACACGAGTCTCAGTGACGAGGCAGTTTCTGATGGCGAATGGGTTGATGTGCACCATTCTTCCGATGAAGAACAGAAAGAAATCGTGAGTCCTAAAATGTCCTTTTCTCAGTGTTGAGGGGCTACGCCCTCACTGGAGCTAGTAGCCGTTTAAGCCTGTGTTGTGTCCTTTCAAGTCTGAGAAGCTGAACAGCATGCCCTTGGAGGAGCGGAAAGCCAAAGCCGCGGCCGTCAGCACCAGCCGAGTGTTAAGTCAGGAAGACTTCCAGAAAATCCGAACGGCCCAAATGAGGAAAGAACTCGACGCTGCCCCTGGGAAAGCCCAAAAGAGGAAATACATCGAATTAGACAGTGATGAGGGGCCCAGGTGAGACAGTGTGTACACCAGGTCTTCAGTCAGCTCACGCGATTATGAAAGTATTAGGAAAAGGAGTTCCATCCTTGTTACGTATTACATTTTTTCCTTCACCCCAGGGGTGAGTTACTTTCTCTTCGGGACATTGAACGCCTTCATAAAAAGCCAAAGTCTGACAAGGAGACAAGACTAGCCACTGCAATGGTGAGTGGGGCATGTCATTGCCTAGTTGTTTAAACAGAAAGCAGATAAAGTGAAATATGACTCAGAACTTGTATAGGCACAGAACTGCAGGGTTTTTTTGGCTGCATTGGGTCTTCGTTGCTGCGCGCAGGCTTTCTCTAGTTGCGGCGAGTCGGGGCTACTCTGCGTTGAGATGCGTGGGCTTCCCATTGCGGTGGTTTCTCTTGGTGTGGAGCACGGGCTCTAGGCGCGCGGGCTTTAGCAGTTGCGGTGCGTGGGCTCAGTAGTTGTAGCTCCCGGGCTCTAGAGAGCAGGCTCAGAAGTTGTGTGACGCAGCAGCTTAGTTGCTCCGCGGCATGTGGGATCTTCCCGGGCCAGGGATTGAACCCGTGTCCCCTGCGTTGGCAGGCGGATTTTTAACCACTGCGCCACCAGGGAAGTCCCTGCAGTATTTTATTTTAATGTTTTAAATAAAAGTATAATTAACATAGAATAAAAGGCACAGATAAGAGGTGTTCAGTTAGATGAGTTTTAACAACCTGATAGCCACATATGTAACCACCGTCTAAGACAAGCTGTAGAGCACAGAAAGGCACAGTTATATGTTCACGGTCTCAGGGAGGCTCAGTACATTTGCCAGAGCTATGAGAAAAGCAGGGGAATGTTTGGTCATTAAAGAAAAGCCAGAGACAGTTAGAGCTGCCGCAGGCAAGTCCTGTGGCTGTTTGCGACTGCAGCCTGCCTACCTTTCCAGCTTCATTTTCTCTACCTTGACTTGTTTCAGACGCCATTCTAAATGGCCTCCACATTACCCTCTATTCCATTTGTACTGACACTTGTTTAGATAAGTTTGAAAACCCATGTTCTTTCTCCACCGCAACTTTGCATATACTATTCCTACCTGAAATGCTCTACTCTTCCCTCCTTCCCTCCTTTCCTCCTTTCCTCACCAGGAAGGCCTTCATCCTGCAAAAAACAGCTCACAGGGTCTCCCTCTCTCATAGGCTCCTCTGGCCTCTAAGAAACCTTTTCTTCCACTGAGCTCCCCTTGCCCAATTACAACACATCATGGTCATTTCTTCCCCTGGACTGAACTGAGTCTCTGGGGAGCAGTGACTGTGTGTTCCCTCCACCTTAGTGTCCTTGGCATCCAGTGGAGCTGGCACAGAGGAGATGTGTATGTTGATGAGATAACTCCTGCAGTGGTATTTTTGTGTGTGTGTGCTGATAGGCTGGAAAAACAGACCGAAAAGAATTTGTGAGGAGAAAAACCAAGATGAATCCATTTTCCAGTTCCACGAATAAGGAGAAGAAAAAACAGAAGAACTTCATGATGATGCGGTATAGTCATAACGTCCGGTCAAAAAATAAGCGTTCCTTCCGAGAAAAGCAGGTGAGCTCAACTTGAAGCTTGACTGGGTAGAGTGATATTGTTGTTCTAAGACTTCTCTACATTTGAGTGGAGTTGTGCCTTCAAAAACCTTGTATTATGTGTGTCTTAGGATTAATGGGGTGCATTATTGGAGAGCATGGAGAGGTGGAAAGTGGTCAGGGCTTGTAAATCCTAGACCTGACTTTGTTGAGATTCAGCTGTGTGACCAAAGGGAGGCGATTTTCCTCCTCTGTAAATAAAGGAGTTTAAACTAGATGAGCTCTGAGGTCCATTCCTGTGCTAAAATTCTCTTGACATTGCATCTGTGAAATATATCGAAATTAACTGAATAATAATTTTTGAGTGTTTATTATATGGTACTTTTTTCCAAAAAGCAATAATTATATGTGGTAATATCTCAGTAACAGTTTCAGGAAAGCAGTACAAACTTAACAGTTCTGTTGTTGGCATGATCCTTTCTCTGTGTACCCTTCTGCAAAGCCATTATGTTCACAGACCTTTGGAATTGTGTTTTATCCATTTTCAGTCTTTGGTGGGTAGTCCTGTGCTGCTCTGTTGGCTTGCTTATTTCATAATTCATTGTAGTAAAACAAATTTATGTTTTTATATCCTCCTCCACTGCCAATGTACCAGAGTGTATATCTAAATGTACTAGGAAGAATCTCTAGGAAGTCAGGTCAAGGGAAAAATAGTGCCACATTCTGAACCAGTGTTCCTAAATTGCAAGCCAAGGATGAGCCTGCCAGGCCTGAATGTGACAGCCAGCTCTCCAGGGCAGGGCTCCATAGGTGTGGGAACCAAGTCAGTATGACTAACTCTGTTTATTTAATCATTCTAGTTCTAAGCTCTTCAACAATGTTATGTAAGTAATAAAGTGGCAGTAATTTTGATTAGAATTTGTTGAAAGTTTAGGTGAAAGGAAAGGTGCCATTAAACAGTCTGAATTTTGCCAATTTAAATGCATGGTTGAATTGATTACATTCATTAGTTTATCCTTCCCCTGCCCTTTATAAGATTTTTGGGTCGAGGAAGTAATGACCATCCAGTTGGCAGGCCTTGCTTCGTTTTGAGGTTTTTGTGACCTTGCTACATGTTATCTAGGGGTGTTCCCCCAGCCCCTACTTCCTCTACTTTTTAGCATGCTTTTTTTTTGGCATGATAGAGAAGCCTTGCTTTGTTCCTGTCAGTACCTCTTTCAGTATAAAATACTTCTCTCAAAGATTGAAGAATTTTGTAAGAGGAAGTTGGTTCACTGGATATGTGCTATAGTTCATGTGAACAATATGAACAGGTACTGTGATTAAACCAACTTTACAAATGAGAAAATAAGACCTAGATAGCTGAATCTGAGAAATACCTTCTTAGCCACGCAAATTAGGTTAAAATGCACTGGTTGATTTTTTTTTTTCTACCATAAGCGTCCCAGTTACTCTGCATATCTACAAAGACATACCAAGACCCAGATCTGAGCTAAAGGCAAGGAGTCAGTAACTTAAAGTCATAAAATTCAAAAAGCTTGATTAGAGCCAGGCAACTTCCACCCCCAAAAATGCTTTAAAGTTTCTAGGACTCAGAGAGTGGTGGTTGCTTGGGAATTAATGGAATCGTATCCATCACACACTTAAGATGTATACACTGACCTTGGTTATCTTCTTTTTATAATTTGGGTTTATTCTTAATCTTTTATTTAATATTCTGTTGTTTTCTTTTGGGAACTGTAAGACTTTATAAGGACGTTCATAGGTTTGCTGTGAACATTGGTCCTGTGGTCTTTTTCTGTAGATCATATTTACATTTTTTTTTTTATCTTCCAGCTGGCGTTACGAGATGCTCTCTTGAAAAAGAGAAAAAGAATGAAGTAACTTCCAAGCAAGTTTTCCATTCCAGGGAGAATGCTAAATTCGTGTCACTACTCTGAAAACTAGTACATTTAGAATGTTTACATTAAAAAGTCCAAAAGCACTATATTGTGAAAACCACAGTAAACTTGGTAGCTTCTGGTGTTCTTATTTTAGAGATGGGTAGGGGTGGGAATGTTTGAAATGTAAACAGTAATGGTGTTGTAAAATCATTTTCATTTAGTGTTCATGAAAAAAAATATATATAGAGAGAGAGAGAGAGAGAGAGTGCCTATTAATTGTCACTGAAGATATAAAATTGAATGAGCCACAACTCCTCACTCAAGGTATTTATAGCCTATTTGTAGGATGGGGCGAGGGGCAAGTATGTATCTGTGTACTTACAGCGTTGTATAAATAGTTCTCTAGTAGAGATAGGTTCATGCTTCTATGGGGTCACAGAGGCCTTATGGACTAACTCTGCAGGGGATGGGAGTTATATATTCTCTTAAAACAGGACAATGTTACAAGAGTAAGAGGATCTTACTTGTAAATAGGCTTACCTGCCGAAAACAGGTCCCTGCTGTACAGATTTTGGGTAGACAATATAGCTTTTTTAGTCCATCCATCCAAAAGATGTGATTTTTTTTTTAATGCCAGATACTGGCTTTTTGGTTAAAACCTTGCTTTTTACATCGCCTTACGTATAAATAGTAATCTTGGAGTGGCCTCCGTTCATCATTTGGGCTGCTCATTCTTCCACAGAGGAAAAAGAAATTAGATTGGTTTCCTCAGCCTTCCTTCACCCTGTAATATTTTCATCCCACCGTTTGCCATGTCTCACTCAATAAAAGGTTTCTAATGTCAAATAGGTACTCTGTGTGCTGAGTGGTGTGTGTTGTCTCCCTTCACTAGGTGTGCTTGAGTAGATTTCAGGGGTCACCGCACGAGAGCCGTGGTCAGCTGTTTGCAAGTTGTTGCGTTTGGAAATAGTTTGGTGCCCTTTGTCTCAGATTTCTTAGGTAGTGTGGTAGTTGGGGAAATTGCTTCAAGCTAGAGGAAAAGGCAATTTTCTGCCCACCCAGCAGCTTCTAAAACCACTTTTCTTACTCCTTTTCCAGCGTCTTCTGTTCACTTTCTCAGTTCAACTTCAGTTTTATTTGAATGAAACTTTGTGACTTTTCCTAAGACGCTCCATACCACTGGGGATTAGTTATGAAGACCTCGCGGTTTACTGATTAAATTGCACTGGCCTAGTGAGAGGAGCCCTCAGTCAACCCCCAGCAGCTTCAGCGATTCACAGGAAGTGTCCGATGCACGTTTGAACGTTTCAGACCTGAAACTCCTCTCTTCTCTCTTTGAATTTTTGAACTGGGTGTCTCCTTATGTGTCTAGCTCCAGAGAGAAGTAAATAAAATTCAAAATGGCCAGCTACCTAGGGTCTGTAGCTTTGCTGTGTGGATTGTGATGATGCCTGGAACTTCCATCCTTCCCCTAGACTTTCCCACCCCACTTAGCTGCCAAGAGCCCAGTCCATTCTGTGTTCTGACTTCTGTTCTTCTACTACTCTTAACTGAGGTTTATATGGAAGCTAGGTATCTGGCTTTAAAAGCTATAGCCTTAACTTCTACTTCCTTAATCCTGTAGTAGGTTCCTTTTATTATTTTATAAGTCTTCTCTTGAGAATACTTTCTGTTTGCTCTAAATTTGGAGGTCAGATCCTCACAAGGATGCTGCCAGCAAAGGCAGAGTAACCTTCAGGGTGACTTATACATTGAAGAAGTCACCAGGGTTTGAACTTCAGCTTTTTAGTCTCAAATTTTTGTCAGCACTGAGAATGGGTCCATTTCAGGGATGAATTCACATTGTCCAAACTCATAGTATATAGAAAGTAATGTGTAAATCTAGAATACTGATATATATGTGATCTTACCAAGTTCTTCTAGAAAATAGGCTCCACAGAAGGCAGACTTCTATGCTGTTTGATGCTAGTTCAGTGCCCAGTATGTAGGTGCTCAACAAATATTTGAATACCTGATATAACTCCTGTCTGTCTTCTCTCTGTAAATAAAATACCACCTAGGGCTTCCCTGGTGGCGCAGTGGTTAAGAATCCGCCTGCCAATGCAGGAGGCACAGGTTCGAGCCCTGGTCCGGGAAGATCCCACATGCCACGGAGCAACTAAGCCCGTGCACCACAACTACTGAGCCTGAGCTCTGGAGCCCGCAAGCCACAACAACTGAGCCCATGTGCCGAAACTACTGAAGCCCGCACCTAAAGCCCATGCTCTGCAACAAGAGAAGCCACCACAATGAGAAGCCCGTGCACCACAACGAAGACTAGCCCCTGCTCGCCACAACTAGAGAAAGCCTGCGCACAGCAACGAAGACCCAATGCAGCCAAAAATATAAATAAATAAATTACCACCTACCTCATTGATTGTTTTGAGAATTTTGACAACTAACGTTTATAAGCTCTTAGCATGGTATTTTCCACAAAGAAAGCATTCAGTAAATTTCTCATCAAAGATTAGATATCTAGGGCTTCCCTGGTGGCACAGTGGTTGAGATTCCGCCTGCCGACGCGGGGGACACGGGTTCGTGCCCCGGTCCGGGAGGATCCCACATGCCACAGAGCAGCTAGGCCCGTGAGCCATGGCCGCTGAGCCTGCTCGTTCGGGGCATGTGCTCCACAATGGGAGAGGCCACAGCAGTGAGAGGCCCGCGTACCGCAAAAAAAAAAAAAAAACAGAAAAACTGAGAGCATAGCTAATTCTGTACAATTTAAATACCATATATTTGTATATAGCACATACCTGAGGTGGTAACTTTACTTCCTTCTGCAGATTCTGTTTTTGTTGTTTTGTTAATCCAGAAATGGTTGAATAAACTGATTTATCCATATGATGGAATATTATGCAACCATTAAAATATTTACAATAGGAAATGCTTATTATAAAAGAACAAAATATAAAAATACTTATAGTGTAATCCAATTACACTTGTAAGAAAATGGGGAGTAATAAAAGCCCAAGAAGAAAGCCACCAAATAGTAAAGTGATTTTCTTTGGTATTGAGATCACATGTGAGGGGTTTTTTTCTTTCTAGTTTGTTTTCTCAGTCTTTTACAGTACCTGTGTTTTGATTTGTGTTATTGTGTAAGAAACAAAATAACTTATTTGAGGCTGGGGAATAATGTATCTTAAGACTCATGAATTTTTTTTTTTTAAACCACAAGAGGAATGCACCTTAAAAGCAAGGCAAGGATTGATTTGAAAATACTCCAGAGGAGTTATAGTCTCACCTTCTTCCACTGGTTTATTGATGGTGCTAGTCATCCTTAGTCTGACACCCTCTGACGCTAGTCAGCAATACCCAGTGCTAAGAGAGTGCTGAGTTAGTACAATTCTTAGGGAAAATAATTGGTGCTGTGTACCAAGAGCCTTTAAAAATAGTCATAATATTTGACTCAAACCCACTTTGAGAGTCTAATCAAAGAAAATGGTCCAAAATATGGCAGCTCAAAAGATGTGTTTGGGTCTGTTTCTGCTGCAAGTAACAGAGTATATCTAAAAATAGTCTGGGGCTTCCCTGGGGGTCCAGTGGTAAAGAATCCGCCTTCCAATGCAGAGGTTCGATCCCTGGTCGGGGAACTAGGTTCCCACGTGCCGCAGGGCAGCTAAGCCCTTGCGCCACAACTCCTGAGCTCGCGCACCTCGACTAGAGAGCCCTCGTGCCGCAAACTACAGAGTCCACATGCCCTGGAATCCGCACGCCACAACTAGAGAGAGAAAAACCTGCAGGCCACAACTAGAAAGAAGCCCGCGCGCCACAACAAAGAGCCCACTCGCTGCAATGAAAGATCCCACATGACTCAAAGAAGATCCCAGGTGCTGCAACTAAGCCCTGATGCAGCCAATAAATAAAAATAGTCTAACCACATTGGAGTCTCACATAAGTCTGGACGTAAACAGTTGCTGGCCTGGGTTCAGCTGCTCAGTGATGCCTTCGAGATCTTGGGCTCCTTTTCTGCTTTGTCATTCTTAGTGTGTTGGAGCCACACACTAAGATTTGAATGCCGACTGACAGCTGTATGACCACAGACAAGTTACTCAACATTTCTGTGCCCAGGTCTCCTTGTCTGTACAATGGAGCTGATAATACCTTACCTTCATAGACATTTCTTCTAAGTTTAAGGCAACAAGAAGGGGCATTGTCACATGTATCCCTTTTACTAGGAAAGCAAAAAGCTTTTCCAGGATCCCTGCAACAGCCTTCCCTTAAGTCTCATTAGCCAGAATTGGGTTATATGGCTACGCTACCAACAGTGGAAGCCGTGAAAGCAGGAAACAGGATTGTTCACCCCCTCAGCTTAAATGGACTGTAACAACCCCAACAGAACTGGGCTTCTGTTCACAATGAAGAGAGGGAGGTATTCAGTAGATTTGGGGTAGGCAACCAGCAATGTCTACCACAGGCTAATTGTGGGGAAATATCCATTGCAACATAATTTATAGCGGCAAAAATGGGTGCAAGAAAATATATCAAAATATGGGACTAGTTAAGCAACTTCGGATGGAATGTCCAGCCATTAAGCACTTTGATAGAGTTATTTTAAAAATAAGATATAGGGCGCCATGGAGGAGTACGCTTGGGAGCTTTGCCCATGGTGAGTTGTGGATGACTGCGGTGGAGCCTTCACTATGGGTGTAATCGGCGGTGGAGTCTTCCAGGCCATTAAGGGCTTCCGCAATGCCCCTGTCGGAATTCGGCACTGAATGAGAGGCGGTGTCAACGCTGTGAGGATCCGAGCCCCTCAGATTGGAGGTAGCTTCGCGGTGCGGGGGAGCCTGTTCTCCACCATCGACTGCGGTCTGGTGCGGCTGCGGGGCAAGGAAGATCCCTGGAACTCCATCACCAGTGGAGCATTGACCGGGGCTGTGCTGGCTGCCTGCAGTGGCCCATTGGCCATGGTGGGCTCGGCAATAATGGGAGGCATTCTGTTGGCCCTCATCGAGGATGTTGGCATCGTCCTCACTTGCAGCAGTTCCGCACTGCACCCCCATTCCTGGAGGACCCCAGCCAGCTGCCCCCTAAGGAGGGTACCCCGGCCCCAGGCTACCCCAGCTATCAGCAATACCACTGAGGAAGTGACCTCCTGTCACCACCACCGTGGGAGATCCTCCTCGGTTCCCTTCCTGATGATCTACCTCAAAGGGAGGGCTGGCTCCCAGTTGGTCCTGGGACCCTCCGGAGAGGGCCTCTACTCTGTTGCCTTATCCCAGGTTTGGGGTGGAGCACCCTAGCTGCCCTGATGGATGGGTCCCTTCTCTCTCAGGCACCCCAGCCCCCATTCATATGTAACAAGCTCTCACCCCAGACCCTTTGCATGGCACCCTGATGAGTATTTAAAGCCAGTTTAAAAAATAAATAAATAAATAAATAAATAAATAAAATAAAGCCAGTTTTGAAATGCCCAAAAAAAAAAATAATAAGGTATGAACACTACAGCAATGTGAAAAATACTATGCCATTATTTTCAAAAGCAAAGTATCAGTGTAACGTGATTTTAAGATAAACATTTTTCACATTTTTAATTCATGAAATTGGGATGTGTCTTAAAATTTTTTGCAGCCAAATGACAGTCTTGACATAATTGTACATTCATGAACTTGGTCTGAAAATCTTAAGTTGACATTTGCTTAGATCAAGCAAGGACCAGCATCAAAACTTGCAGAAGGGGAGTCAGTAGCTGGTAAGAAAATTCCAGAAAAAAAACAGTGGAACATTTTTCTAAAATTTTCAGTTCTTTATTGATGTATAATACATACATGAAGAAAAGTGCAAGTATCGTGAAGTGTACTTAAGCTCAATGAATTTTCACAAGTTGAATAATACATCCCTGGTTATCAGCAACCAGATAAAGAAACAATATTACCAACACCTCAGAAGTCCCCTTTTTTTTTTTTTTTTTTTTTTGCAGTACGCGGGCCTCTCACTGTTGTGGCCTCTCCCGTTGCGGAGCACAGGCTCCGGACGCGCAGGCTCAGCAGCCATGGCTCACGGCCCCAGCCGCTCCGCGGCATGTGGGATCTTCCCGGATCGGGGCACGAACCCGTGTCTCCTGCATCCGCAGGCGGACTCTCAACCACTGCGCCACCAGGGAAGCCCAGAAGTCCCCTTTTGAGTGGAGAACTCAAGAAATGCTGCAATACCAAGGTTCTTAATGACACAAGCGTGCTATGGAAAAACACGGGCATCTAGGATGCCAGCCAAGTCAGACTCACAAGAGTCTGATTTTGAATGCAAAGAAGCTTGTGCAATATGTTAACCAATTTGTTTTGCTTCCTCAAACATGTACAAGAGCAGGTATTTTATTTTTAAATGTCTGTGACAAAAGACTTAGAATTCTTTCAGTACATACACATTTTAAAATTCTAATAAGAAAGCATTGTGTTGTAGTTTAAATGTCAGCAAGTTTCTCTTTAAGATACATAAAATAATGGTGCTTCCTACAACTTACAATTTTGTAAGTATAATATGCAATATGAAAATAGTGTGGTGTGAATATAGCTGACTGGGTTTTCTTTTCTCTATGTATTAAGCATGTATTAGGGTTCTCCAGAGAAACAGAACCAATAGGAGATATATATATCTCATATACCCTATGCATATGAGGAGATTTTATCATAGGAATTGGTTCAGGAGATTATAGAGGCCGAGAAATCCTGCAATCAGCTGTCTGCAAGGTGGAGAACTGGGGAAGCCAGTGGTGTAATTCAGTCCAAATCTGAAGGCCTGAGAATCAGGAGTGCCAATGGCCCTTTTTTTTTTTTTTAAATATAAAACACCTCTAGTTCCATTCTTACAGCAAGATCCAATTTTGGTATACCTAGTATTCCTATTATTTAGATAGTAAGATCAGATCCAGGAGTGCTTTAAGAGGGAATTTGGCTAAGGGGTAAAGGAAAATTAAGATGACGTGGGAACCTAATTGTGGAAAGTGTTACAGGAGAGGAAGTATAAAAGGAGGACGTGAAAACTAAGAACAAATTATGATACTTCACAACTTACTTTAAGGATACTTGAATCTTCCTCTTTTACCATTTTAATTGTGATATTTTTAAACATATAGAAAATAATGAAACATATCCATTTCCTAGATTTATTCAATATTAATTTTTACCTTTTTTGGTTTGTTTTAAAGAAATAGAATGTTAAGAGTATAACTGAAGCCCCACTCAGCCATTGTCTCCCTTTCTCAGGGATATCTACTATTTTGCAGTTGATGCCTATTATTCCTTTAGTTTTTTGTTTTTTTTTTACTATATTTGTGCATGTATATGTATGTGTGTGTGTGTAATAAAAGTATCATTGAGTATCTTAAAATTTTACATATATAGTATCATTGTATATATCCTTTTGCTGACTATAACTCAACATTAGATTCTGGATAAATGAAGATTCTATCATTTAACTGTTGTAATAGTTTTCCATTATTTATCCATAAATCCACAATTTATCATTACCCTACCGAAGAGCAGTTAGGTTTTTTCACTTTTTTTGCCATTTAAAAATCCTGCTATAAATATCCATGTGCAAGTTTTTGTGTGGGCCTGAGTTTTCAACTCCTTTGGGTAAATACCAAAGAGAATGATTGCTAAATCATATGGTAAAAGTATGTTAAGTTTTGTAAGAAATCACCAAACTATCTTCCTTCTAGCTTCCCAGTTCCAAAGCCACACCCACGGTTCTAGGTATTTGGTATCACTCCACTTGCATTACCCAGATCTGTATTAGTTATCTATTGCCGCATAACAAAACACCACAAAATTTAGCGGCTTAAAGCAATGAACATCATTTCACAGTTTCTGTGGGTCAGGAATTTCAGGTGGCTTAGCTGGGGCTAGAGAATCCACTCCCCAAACGGCTTATTCATACGACTGTTAGTAAGAAGTCTCAGTTCCTCTCCAGTTCTTGGTAGAAGGTCTCAGTTCCTCAAGTTAGGGACCTTTTCATAAGACTTCTTTAGTGTCCTCAGAACATGACAGCTGGCTTCCTTCAGGGTGAGCAATCCAAGAGAGAATGCAAGGAGTCCAAAATGTCTTTTGTGACCTAATCTTGGAAGTCAGACACCATTACTTCTTTGGCTATATTCTACATGTCAGAAGCAAGTCACTAAATGTAACCCATAGTCAAGAGGAGTGGAATTAGGCTCCACCACTGGAAGGGAAGCGTATTGAAGAATATGTAGATCTATTTTAAAACTACCATACTACTTTGTTTTGTTTTGTTTTTTTTTTATTTGGCTGTGCCGGGCCTTAGTTGTGGCATGCAGGATCTAGTTTCCTGATCAGGGATTGAACCCGGGCCCTCTGTATTGGGAGTGCGGAGACTCAACCACTGGACGACCAGGGAAGTCCTCACACTACTTTTAAACTGAACAAAATGAGATGCCAGCTATAAAAACATTATATCCCATGTTTCTGATATATCATCTACCTTCTTGCACGCTCCACAGAAGTATTTTTTAAACTGTAGATTCAGTTCCATAAATAAACCATGAAATCAGTGTATAGTATCTCTGAAATCTGCACAGCATAGAAGCAGCAGAAGGGAGAGGGCTCATACTTTTGTAATTCCAGATCTCCCTTTAATCTTTTAAACTGTCCTATAACATATGTATAACTTTTTAATAATATAGGAATAGATTATATGAAATTATATTTGTAAGGTCGGATCTTAACAAACGGCACTGCGAAACAGAGGAAAGCTTCAAGTGAGCTTTATTAGGGAGTGCTCCCGGGCGAGGTTCACTGGTCCGAGAGAAAGGGGCCAGAGAAGTCGCACCCGGGCGAGGGTTGGGCAAGATTTTATAGGGGAAGAAGGGAAAGGGGTGTGGTGAATCTGGGAGGGCGCAGCGTATTCCTTATTTGGTGGTCTTGCAACTGCTGTTACTCAGGTTTTGCAAATGAGCAAATTAACACCTGGGTCTTAAATTTTACAGAAAGACCAGGAAGAAATGGGAACAGGGGCTTGAAACTTTAGCCCAGTGACATGTAAGCCACAAAAATGGGAAAAGTCAGTGGAATCTAAAATATAACACAAATGAACCTATCTACGAAACAGAACTAGAGAACAGATTTGTGGTTGCCAGGAGGAGGAGGGTGCAGGAAGGATGGATTGGGAGTCTGGGATTAGCAGATGCAAACTATTATATACAGGATGGATAAACAACAAGGTCCTACCGTACAGCACAGGGAACTATATTCAATATCCTGTGATAAACCAGAATGGAAAGGAATATAAAAAAGCATATGTATACGTGTATAACTGAATCACTTTGCTGTACAGCATAAATTAACACATTATAAATCAACTATACTTCAATTTAAAAAATGGGAAAAAACCAGAGGTAGTGATGGTGTATTCTAGTTGGGGGAGGGGGCTGAAAAAAGCGAACTTTCCAAGTTTCCCCTACACACTTACTCTACCTACGGACGACCGTGCTAACCATTAAAGAATGTTCCACCCTTATTAAGTCTGGTGATTTTCCTGAGCCTAACGCCTTTTGTCTCCCAAACTGGGAACGCGAAAAGGTGAGGCTGCTTCAGGTTAATGATTGTGAAGGTGGAATTTGGATTCTGACAGTCTGGCTTTGAGGCTAGCTCACCAGCGATGTGACCTCGGGCAAATTACATAACACTCTTCATCAGGAAAACAGGGATGAGTCAGGAGAACCTATCTTCTGGCTTGTTTTGATGGTCAAATGAGACAGAGTGGGCAAAACACTTTGCACATAAATGTTAGCTACCTTTTTAGCTTTTTTAAAGTAACTGAAAAGAAGTGGGACTGCTGAACTGAAAAAGCTCTCCTTCTCCTTATAAAATCCAGATAAACCTTTGAAGAACTTAAATTAAGAGCAAGTGAGGCGGGGTTGGGAAGGCCCTTCCTACCGCAATAGGACTCTGCTGGCTCCCTCTTGGCGGCTGAAAACCATTTTCGTAAACGCCCTCCAGGCCGCAGATCACGCTCTCTCCGACCACGTGGGTGGGATGGGGCGGAGACTGGGAGGCTAGAAGCTAGCGGCCGCATTTAGCGCCCTCGGGGGACCTGGAGCAGGGCGGCACCCTTGGCTGGGGGCGGGGGCGCGGCACTGAGGCACTGGGGCGAGAAGCGCAGATACTAGACTTGGGGAGGCGGCTCCTCTCACCATTCCGGGTCCCGCGTGACTAGCCGGGCCAAGCTGCGCGCGGGCTCCGCCTCCAGCCCTCCCGGCTCCGCGCAGGCTCCGCCTCCTCCTCGTCCTCCAGCGCTTCCCCAGGGCGCGGGCAGCGGTCCAATTGAGGCCGACCGAGTTATGAGAGCCGCCGGTCCGAGGGCGCGCATGGCGCTGGCTCTGCTGCTGCTGGCCGAGGCGTCGGCCGCCGCCTCGTCCTCCGCCCCGCCGCTCTTCAACGTGAGCCTGGACGCGGCCCCCGAGCTGCGCTGGCTGCCAGTGCTGCAGCACTTCGACCGCGACTTCTTGCGCGCCTCTATGGCGCATATCATCGGGTGAGTGCAGGACAGGGGGAGTGAGCGGGGGTCGGAGAGCGGCAAAGCCCGGACGCTTGCTGCCCAACGTGCGTCAAACTGAGATTTGTGATCCTCCCCTCCCTCTCGGACAGCCTTGCCCTCCACCCCATGCCGCTCACCCCGGGCGTCTGGCGTGTGCAGGGCTGGCGGGGACCAGAGTTGGCATTTGCTAGTGCCCCAGGCAGCGCCGGGGCTGGGGATGATCCCGCGCAGCTGGTTTGACTTTCAAGTTCGGCGTCTCCAGTGGCACGCCAGTCCACCAGCCATTCTGGATCAGGGTGGCGCGCGGGTTGTCGCCCGGGCTGTCGCCCCGGCTGGCTGCTCAGCTACCGAGTAGGGGACGCAGCCCCGCACCCCTAGCAGGCCTCATGGGCCCCCAGGCCCACCCCTTTGGGGACCACTCTCCGTCGCCCTACTTCCCTCTCTCGGAGTGTTCTTTTCTCTTCGGGACGCTGCGTTTTGGGTGATGCCGGCTGGACCTGGACTGTGAGTTCTCTGGGTAAGCGAGGCACCTAGAACTCACCCCTCAGGATGAGCTTTTGGTACCCTCTCCCCCAGTACACACACACGCACCCCTCGGAACCTCTGAGCAGATCAGACACTCTCGTGGTTCTTCATTTCTAGGGATACTGTCCCCAAGTGGGTCCTCGCATTGATCCGAAAGGCGGTCTGGGAGCTGGAGCTCTTCCTGCCCCAGCCCTTCACCGACGAGATCCGCGGCCAGTGCGACGCTCTGAACTTCACCCTGGCCGACTGCATCCTCCTTAACCTGGCCTACGAGTCCACAGCGTGAGTGCCCCGCACTAGCGCGGATTAATTTGAGACTTGACTCGGATTCCTGCCACATCTGAGTGGGAGGAGACATGTTTTCAGTGTAATAAAAGCAAGGTGGTGACCGGGCTGCCCAGAAACCTCCAGTGCTTCCTCTTTGCTTCTCTGGGTAAAACTGAGCAGCAGATTATAAGCTTCGAGAAGGAAAGCAGCTTCTCTGACCTCAACACTGAACTGTTCCTCTACCTGAAGTCCCCTTTTCTCCCTTCACCAATCCAGGTAGCATCCCACTTTTGAAACTCTGCTCGACATGTACTTTCCCAGGAAAGTCTAGGAATAATCCCACTCAAGTTAATCCAATGACTGCCCAGCCTTATAATGCAGGGGGCTGTCCCAGCATTCATTTGTCACACTGCATTTAACTTTCCATGTTCATCATGGCTAGCGATCATGATTCCTCTTTCTCAGCCTGTTGCCTCCAGTGCTGGGGTCACAGGCTACACTGTTCTGGCTAGTAGGGGCAAGCCAGTATATGGTACCCGGAGTGGACATGATCAGCTGTGGCACACACAGGGGAAAGCAATACGGAGTGTGTGGTTGATCCCAGGCAAAGTACAGGGAGAGCCTCTGTTGGCTCAGTAACAGGTCCTGGAATTAAGAGAGATTTGACTTGGTTTCTGTCTTCAGGACTTACTGTTTTGCCACCAGACCAGACTCATTAGTAACATCTTGTAGATACTTAATAGCTTCTCCCTGCCGAAAGATGTTTAAAAAATTTTTTTTCCTGTGGATAATGAAACTTTACTGCCTGCTGCCATCTTCCCAGAACATCTAGGTAGAGTAGGTTAAGAAGCACTGTGACTGCCTTCCTCTTCAGGGAAATGTTTTAAGACACAGATGTATTAAAGGGCCCTTCAATTGACCTAAGTTAATTTTGCCGTTCCTCGTCTCCTACCCCCATCTTTTTCCTATTCTGACATGTGGTTTTCTCAGTGAAAAAATCAATTTATTTTCATTTTCCTCTTCCTTTGTTGGAGTCACTGTATTCAAATCAACTAGAGCAAAAATTCTAGTAAAAAAACATTCTAACTTTTGGATTTGATATTAAGGTATATACTGAATCGCCTGGCAAGAAAAAGCACCATCAGACTCCACTAGCATTAACAAAGGAAATGTTTTGTCCTCATTTCTGGTATAAGGCTTTTTGAATCAGATTAAGTAAGACTAGCGACGCTTTATTGAGCCTACTGGGTATGAGGCACTGGAGATTGTATTACCTTTTGTGATGTGGAAACCAAGCCTCAGAGGGGACAGTTTGCTGAAAGTCAGATGCATGGTGAGTGGCCAGAGTTGCTGCTAAAAGCACATGTCCCCAGCACTGTGCAGTGCATCTCCCAAAGCAGAGCCTGGCTCCCTAGTTGTTCCCTGTGCTGTGGGCCACCTCACACCAAAACATTTGGGCATGACATGAAAGAATTGTTGTCTCTCCAACTTTGAAAAATCACCTTTGAGGGTCTACAGACTTTGCTTTAGCTACTTCCAGTGTTTGATCAGTTTGCTTCTTGACGTGAACTCTTTGAAAATCAGAGACCTTGGAAAAAATTAAAACGTGACCAAGCTTCCTTTTTTAAACAAACAGAAAAGGAGGTAACATTTGTTTTCTCTTAATTATAAAGACAATGTGTAATCATAGAAAATTAGTAAATACAGAAAAGTATAAAGAAAATTAACCACAATCCTGTTACTCAGAAATGACTATCCATCCTTCAGGATGTGTGTGTGTGTGTGTGTGTGTGTATACATATCTTTCCCCTGTCCCAGAATTGGACATGGTATATTCAAGTACTTTTTACATAACATTACATATTCACAGAGAATATGGACCTTTAGACCTCTTAACAAACCTCTTCGTCTTTTCCTCAAAATATATCTCTCTGGCTGGGAGTTCTTAAAAGATCCTTTTCTCTTATTAGCTCTCTGCAGGGAGCTTTAAGGGGGACAGGAAAAGTGGCAGGCTCCTAAATAGTTCACCCTTTTTCCAAGGAGACAAAGTGAAACAATTTATGGAGCAAAATAGTTAGCTGCCATGGTGTTTGCTCTGAGAAATCCAGAGAAGAGAGAGTTGAGCTTGAGCCAACCTTGAATGGTGTATTAAATAGACTACATACTGCCAAGCAGAGGACTAAGCAAAGTTCAGTGAACTCGCTGAGCCCAGAATGAGTCCGTTTCAGATTTAGATTTAGGATGAAATTCGCATTCAGTATGTTTTCAATGTCCTGTGTGCTGAGGGCAGAGGTCTAGTAACACTGAACGAACGCTGTTGTGTCCAGTTGTCTTTTTCATCTTGAATTATGATCCACAGGGATTATATTAGCATATGTGTCTGTTATAAGGAAGAAAACTTTTACTTTGAGGACTTTTTTTTATTTTTTATTTATTTTTTTGCGGTACGCGGGCCTCTCACTGTTGTGGCCTCTCCCGTTGCGGAGCACAGGCTCCGGACGCGCAGGCTCAGCGGCCATGGCTCACGGGCCCAGCCACTCCGCGGCATGTGGGACCTTCCCGGGCCGGGGCACGAACCCGTGTCCCCTGCATTGGCATGCGGACTCTCAACCACTGCGCCACCAGGGAAGCCCGAGGACTTATTTTTAAAATGAAAAACTCATTTCCTTTTTCTTGTTCACTTATGTTGAGTTTTTCCCTTTTCCCAGATTCTGCACCAGTATTGTGGCTCAGGACTCCAAAGGCAACATTTATCATGGCCGGAATCTGGATTACTCTTTTGGAAATTTCTTACGCAAGTTGACAGTGGATGTGCAGTTCATAAAGAATGGGCAGGTATAATCTGTACAGTGTAAGATTCAGAAATCAGAGAGACTTGCTAACCCAAGTTAGCCGTCACTTGGATGGTCTGCAGCTTAACTGTGTTTTCAATTTAAGATACAAAAAACGTCACCCTCCTGGAAAAACAAAACCACAAGAGAGATTGACATCAATTATGCTTGTAGAAACAAGGGTCATTTATTATTATTGAGAATCTACTTACAGAGGTCAATCACTTTTCCCTAGGGAAATTTCTGTGGGTGTATGATCGGTCTCCATTTATGATGCTAAATCAGCTCTTTCCTTTGCTTTCCCACGTTCAGGCTGCTTCTAGAATAGAGGGGCTGGGTAGTGTAAATGTCTAGGAACACCTAATTTGGGGATCTGACAGTCCTGGCTTTGAAGTTTGCTTCTGTCACTTCCTTTGTGAACTTGGGAAATTACTTAAACCCATTTTGCAGATTACAGCCCAGAGAGGTTAATAACTACTTTATGGAGATAGTTATAAAGGTTAAATGAAGTAATCTATGCAAAGCATATGGTAGATGCTTGATAAATAGTGGCCAAATAATAAATAGTCCTTCACTCTAAAAGTATAATTGACCCACACTACTCTTATTTTTGATCTTTAAGAAATTATACATATACATCATTTTATTTTCATCATAGTTCCTTTAAACGTACAACCTAGTATGTACTATTGTCACATTTCTGTGTAAATATCTAGAGAGATAGCAGTAATCAATGTTCATTGTGTACACAAAGCATGTCATTGCATGAAACAGAACAGAGAATGCAAAAGTCAGATCTTGGCTTTGCGGGGGACACTGTTTAAGGACTTTATTTAGTTCTTTGCATTTAGGGGTTGAGTCACAAATACTAGAAACTCATGTACGAAATACTCAGATGGTCGTCTGCTTTTACAAACAAAAACTTTCTCATAAAACATTCAAACGGTACAGAAATATTTAAGGTGAAAGTTTCTACTTTCTCAATTTCATTCCTTTACTTCACCACTATTACCAATTTAATTTGTAGTTGAAGATTTACTTCAAAAATGGTTTTAAGTGGTAGCAATGACAGAATATCCATGAAAATAAGTTCTGAAAGGACATCTGCTAAAATGTTTGTAATTATTACTGAATAATAATAGGGGACAATAATTATTTTTACTACTTTATGCTTTTCTCCATTATTCTACAATGAGCAAAAATTCTTAAAAATCGACAAAAGGTTAAATGCAATAAAAATAATTTCACCTGGACTCACCCTAACTAATAGGTGTTGCTTCATTTGTTTCTGTTGCTCCTGGAGCTCTCATGGGAAATGGTCTATTGGTGTGGCTTATCTCAGTGCTTAGGCTATTATTACCGAATTTAACAGTTTACACTTGGGTATTGTCTTTCTGCTGAGGGCTCCTGGCTAATAAATTGCTTTGCTAAATTAAGAACAGGTTATTCATCCAATAATGAAGCCCTTATTCTTATCTAGTGTTCATAGTTTTAAAAGTATTTTCAGATACAGGACCTCCTTTGATCTTCACGATAGCTCTGTGAGGCAGGCTTAAGTCAAATTATTATATTATTATATATTTATATTAAATATTATATTTATATTATAAATATAATATTTATAATTTATATATTTATAAATATATTTATCTATATAAATATATATTTATATTATAAATATATTTATAATTAATTTATAAATATAATATAAATATTTATATTAAATATTATATATTTAAGTCAAAATAATTATATATTTAAGTCAAATAATATAATTATTTGTAGTTACGTGTTATAAAATATCTTGGAAGCTACCAGGGATTTTGATTTTTGTAACTTTAATTTGCTGGCTCTTCAAGAGTAACACTGATGTGAGGGTTGGTGTGCCATGTGAATGAAGTGACTGTGTGATTACTTTTTCCCCTATAGTTATGTTTTATAAGGGCTTTAGTGGTGAGGTAGACTTATTTCTGTTTTACTGCCATGAATGGAAATGGCAAGAATTCATGGAAGACCCTCACTGAGTCTCGGGGAAGAGGTCATTTATGAAATTAAGACCATTGCATTTTCCCCTTGTAATTTAACCGCTTTATTTTACAACCAGACGAGGTAGAAATAAACAATTAAATGAAAAGTTACTGACTTAAAATTCAGCTTTCTAGGAAAAAAGTAAGCTAGGCCCGTTCATTTCTCAAAATACAAAAGTATTAGTTCATCTTTACTGAACCATGTGAGCTGGGTGTCTGGTATCTGAAATAACTGATAGAGTTTGTTTTTCTCCTCAGGGATATAGTGGTGTCTTGTAATCATTAGAGTTCATTTCCTTCATTTAAAGTGGGAGCAAAGCAAAAAAAAAAAAGAAAGAAAGAAAAAAAAAGTGGGTGTGATCCCTACAACTCATGGAATAATCATGAGGATTAAATGAAAGATGTATGTAAAAGAATTTTTTAATATTTAAAATTTAAATTTGATTATTACTGACAAACAGTCTCACTTGTTTCCCCTTACTTCACAGAGCTTGTAAGATGCATGATATTAATCTCTTATAATGAGTCAACATAAGTTTTTAAATGGAAGCCCATTTGCTACTTCTAGGATGGAGCTTCTTTTTTCTGCGAGGAGCCCTTTGATGAAGCTTATTGATCCCTTCTCAAAATAATGTTTCATAAATACATAAAATAAAGTTATGAGATTGCGAAGAAACCAGTTATGTTGAAATACAGCCATTTCAATATTATACTTTTTCTTAACACATTAACTGGTAAAACTTAGCAGTGGGTCTAGAAACTACCATAAATTCAGAGTAGTGGTAAGTATGAATGATATTTCAAGATATGTATGTATACCATATCAACATAGGTATGATGCCATTATGTATGTGAAAATACTTGAGTCACAGGCACTTACAGAGGGAGTAAAATTTCAGTTAGAGGCTAGTGAAAATAAAGATGTACCTTTTTTTCCATCTGAGGTCACAGATCTACTGACTTCTATCCATGGACCCCCAAAGTTAAATCTTCTAGAAGGCTATTTCAGAGGTTTTATTCTATTATGTTGGAACTTGTAAGAAAAAAAAAATCCATGAAATTGTGGGACAAAACAGGTGATTTCAATGTACATTTGGTTGGAGTGTTGAGATGATGCCTTATCTCTTGATTTCAGATTGCTTTCACAGGAACCACCTTTATTGGCTATGTAGGATTATGGACCGGTCAGAGTCCACACAAGTTTACTGTTTCTGGCGACGAACGAGGTAATCAAAACAAACTCCCAAGCACTTTTAGCCCTATCCCTGTTCAGTTTTATCCAAGTACTTCATTCACTCACCCAAAAGAACATATGGAACACCTTCCACGCTACATGCTTCCATTCTAGTGGGGGAAGGTGGGCAGCGTGCAAGTAAGCAATGAAGAGTATTTCAGCTAGTGATAAATGCTACCAAGAAAGTAAAACAGGAACATGTGATAGAGAATGAAGGAGGGCGTGCAGCAGGTACTGCAGGTATAAGGTCAGGGAAGGCCTGACCCACATGATCCAGGTGTGCAGAAGCTAGGGGAGGACCATCCCTGGTGTATTCCAGAAACAAAAGACTGTGAAATGTGGTTACAGGATGGAGTAGGTGGGGAGTGACAGTAGAGACAGAGAGGAAGGCTGAGGCCGTGGTGCAGGGTCATGAGGGGGAGTTTGGGTTTTAAGCCAAATGGAAGCCCTAGGAAGAGTTTAGGCCAGGGAGTGAACAGATCTGTTTTACCTTTATATTCTTAACTATCATTGGCTGCTCTGTAGAGACTAGATCATGTTGGGTTAAGATGGAAGCAGAAGACTGGAAGCTATTGCAGTAATCAGAGGATATATGGTGGCATTACACAAGTAAAACACTTTAAGGGGTTCTGTGCACTTACTCCTAAGTTTTCTCATTAGACCCTCACAACAGTCCTATTAGATAGGCTGGGTTGATATTATTAACTGCATCATTATGCAAAGGGGGAAACTAAGGCTGCAAGATAAAAGGACAGCTGGTTGATGGGAGAGATGGTTCTCAAATTGATCTCCTGGGTCCTTGCCTGGTTGCTCTATTAAATAACCCCACTGCCATCCCCTAAATCTCAGGGGACACCACTCAGTTTCCCAATATGTGGGAAACCCTGAGATAAGCCAGCTCTGGCCTCTGTCTTCAGGAATTGCAACTGAATAAAGGAGAAAGACAGGTACATGGAGTCTCTTAAAGTGTAGTGTCGGTCATCTGATGAACCCCTGATCAACTTGTTGTTTCCTTTGATGTTTTCTTATCTTTTTACATAGGCTGGACCAGGAAGATGCTGGTTAAGGATATATCATTGTCCAAGGGACTCAGTTCTTTATCCTCATGTATTTCTTCATCATTTTCTCAAATGTCACCTATGAGTGAAACTAATTCTCAACCATGGTACCCAAACCACAGCATGACAGTTCCTGAAGTTTTACGGAGAATGACTGTAAACATGTGTAAACAAAATTATTTAACTGATAGCTATGGTATGAGCAGTTTAAAAGTAACTGAGTTATTCTTTTACATACACATTTAATTAAATACTGTCAAATTTCTTAAAAAAAATTCTTTAAACCTTAAGCTAATGAAAACTAGTTATATCTTTAGTCAGCGAAGACTGAGTTAAAATGCCTGAACAATAAAATAACATCTCTTCTTTAATAGCAATAATTAAGATCCTCAATTAAGTTTCTGGATATTATGGAGAGGGCCAACAGTGCCTTTAGTATATGAATAAGGATAAGAAAAGGAGGAGGACTAACAAATGGCATAGAGTGTGGGAGACCTAACCAGCCGCGGATAAGATCTCAGACCCCAGAACCAGGCTGCCTGGGTTTATACCTTGATGCTATCACTTGCTAGCTGGTGATCATGACCAAGGTGCTTAACCTTTCTGTGCTTCAGTTTCTTCATCTGAAAAACAGAGACGATAATAACCACTGTAGGATGAAATGAGTTCATGTATGTAAGGTATCTAGAGCAATGCCTGGCACAGAGCAAGGGCCATAGACGTATTTGTCATTGTTGTCACATCTCTGGGCTGGTCCTCTTCTGAGCCCCAGATTGAAGTGTCCAACTACCTGCTCAGCATCTCCACGTTGATGTCTCCTAGGCATCCCAAACTTAACATGTTCAAGCACATCTCTTGCTCTTTTCTTTTCCCCTTTTCCTGCCCTTAGTAACCTCCTCCACCCAAAGTTACACCTCTCCTAATTTTCCATGTCTCAGGGAATGGCACTTCTCCTCAACCAATTGCTACCAGGAGAATTCTTTGACCCCTCGGTCCGTAAGTTTTGTCAGCTCTACCACCAAAAAGAGACTCTCCCTGTCCGTTCTCTCCACCTTCCCTGCTAGGCTATCACACCTGTGTTGCTGCCTAGCTGTCCATCTGTTCTCCCCACTACTGTTCTCCCCCTCCTGTACTTTCTCCACCCTGCAGCTGCATGATCAGGTTGTTCCCTTGCTTAAGACCTACCATGACTTGCCATTTCTTCTTCTTTTTTTAAAAAAATATTTATTTATTTATTTATTGGCTGCGTAGCTGAGGCACACGGGATCTTTTGTTGCAGTGCGTGGGCTCTTGGTTGTGGTACGTGGGCTCCTCTCTAATTGTGATGAACGGGCTCCAGAGCCCACGGGCTCAGTAGTTGCAGCGCACGGGCTTAGTTCCCCCACGGCATGTGGGATCTTAGTTCCCCGACCAGGGATCAAACTGGTGTCTCCCGCATTGCAAGGTGGATTCTCAACCACTGGACCATCAGGGAAGTCCCTGACTTTTTATTTCAAGTGACAAATCCAGAGCCCTGACTCTGACCTCAAAACTCTACGTGATCACCTCCAGCACCTCATTTTATGCTTCTCCTTCTCCCTCACTCCACCTGGACCTCACTGGCGTTCTTTCGTTTCTTGACAGCTGCCAAGCTTGTCCCTGCCTTAGGCTTGACACTTATGCCTTCTGTCTGGAATGCTCTGCCCGCCTTAGCTAGATGTCCACAACTCAGAGGGGCTATCCTTACTCTCCTCTCAGAGGAGTCCTCTCTTGTCACTCATGATTACATTCTTGTTTTACTTTATTATGGTTATCAAAACCTTGTTATTTAATGGTACACTAGTTTCTTCTGGTTACGGTTAAATTCCAAGGGTCTGGACCAAGTCTGGATATGGTGGCTAGTAGATGCTTATTTCTTGAATGAAATGCTTATTCCTTGAATGAAAAATTTTCTTTGGAAATAAATCCCCTACAGATAATTTTAAAGATGTTAAAAAGCATTAAAAAAATAGGGGCTTCCCTGGTGGCGCAGTGGTTGAGAGTCCGCCTGCCGATGCAGGGGACACGGGTTCATGCCCCAGTCCGGGAAGATCCCACATGCCGCGGAGCGGCTGGGCCCGTGAGCCATGGCCGCTGGGCATGGACGTCCGTAGCCTGTGCCCCTCAACGGGAGAGGCCACGACAGTGAGAGGCCCGTGTACCGCAAAAAATAAATAAATAAATGAGCCCAAATCTTACTTAAAGTTCTGAAATATATATGTGCTCTACAGTCTTCCAAATACTGTGTTTTTTAATAAATTTATTTTTTTAATTTTAATTTATTTTTGGCTGATTTGGGTCTTTGTTGCTGCGCCCGGGCTTTCTCTAGTTGTGGCGAGCGGAGGCTACTCTTCGTTGCAGTGCACAGGCTCTAGGCGCACAGGCTTCAGCAGTTGTGGCTCACGGGCTCTAGCGCAGGCTCAGTAGTTGTGGCGCACAGGCTTAGTTGCTCCACTGCAGGTGGGATCTTCCCGGACCAGGACTCAAACCTGTGTCCCCTGCATTGGCAGGCGGATTCTTAACCACTGCGCCACCAGGGAAGCCCTTCCAAATACTGTTGAGTCACTTTTCTTATTAGCTACATAATTTCATTTCGCATGAAGTAATATAATAGAATGATTTCCTTTAACACAATTATTGTTTCCAGGTAAAAGACTATATATACACACCCACACATACACACATATGAAATACATATATACACACATATACACTCACACATATACATATACATGTTTATATGTTGCCATACAGTTTGGGCTTCATCTTTGAAAATTGGTTGCTAATAAAATCACTCTTCATCCACCACCATTTCTCCCACATCAACTTGTACTATGGGAAAGAAACAAGATTTAGGAATTTTAAAACGTGGCTCTGGGGCAGCAACTCGAGCATATACTTATTGTTCCATCCTTGGCAGATAAAGGCTCGTGGTGGGAGAATATGATTGCTGCCCTTTTTCAGAGACACTCACCGGTCAGCTGGCTTATCCGCACTGTGAGTATTTTTCTTGTCGAGCCCACCTCACCCTAATGTCATGTTCTAAACTGTGTTCATGTTGTGATGCTGTGTCATTTAACAATGTTGTTTCTAATGTAAGAAGCTCCTGACAAGAATAAGCATTTAAAGGTTTACAAAATGCCTGTCACCTTTTTTGATAATAAGTACCAAAGATAAAGTGGGACACTAGTTAAAGTGTTAAGGACAGATTTTTATCAGTAGTACAATATTGCAATAGGGAAAAGTGTCCAGCGTGAATGGAACTTAACTTCTACTTGACTGAGTATTTTAAAGGGAGAATGAGGGAATGGGGAGGGGGTGAGGGGAGCACAGTAGAGTCACAGAAGTGAAAAATTAGCAAAAGTAGAAAGGAGGGAGTTGTCCATGTGAAGTAAGTCAGCCTCCTACCCTCCCGCAGAGACTGCGACATAGGGGCCCTATCTTCAGGTATTAGCTGTAAAGTCTTTGGGAAGCCTTGAGTTCTTTCAGGCAGGCACTATAAGGGGGCTACAGTCATCGTAAGAACGTGGCCTTGAGCTGTCAGAAGCTGTGATAGTGTTTGTCCAAGTCTTTATAGGCTGAGGTTAAGGCATAGTTGAGAAGAGGGCTCCAGGAGCCTGGATAGAGTTCGGTCAAGAAGAGAATCTTTGTCATAGGCTAGAGTTTTCCACAATAGCTAATTGAGATAAAAGACATATGTTTTTCTGCAGATAGAGATGTGCCCTCCTTTTAGAATCTCCAATTGCAGATATCTTAATCTCCATTTGCAAGTATCTGAATTAACAAAACAAATGCGTTAGAAGGTAGCTCTACACACAACAAAAGGAACATCAGCTTTAGGTTCGCTATTAGTCAGCAGGGTTCCAGGCCACATATAACTTGTAATCTGACCACAGAAAGCACATTTTCAGGAGCACATCTCTGGTGAAAGGATCTGGCCCTGCCCGGGTTTAGCCTTTTTGGCCCCTCCTTGTCCTGCTCTAAATGATCAAGCCCCTGTGGACTTGAAATTCTCCTAAACTTTTTTTCTTATATAAATTTTTCTATTTATTTACTTTTGGCTGTGTTGGGTCTTCGTTGCTGCGTACGGGCTTTCTCTAGTTGCGACGAGCAGGGGGCTGCTCTTCGTTGCGGTGCACGAACTTCTCATCGTGGTGGCTTTTCTTGTTGCGGAGCACGGGCTCTAGGCGCATGGGCTTCAGTAGTTGCAGCACACGGGCTCAGTAGCTGTGGCTCGTGGGCTCTAGAGTGCAGGCTCAGTAGTTGGGGCGCACAGGCTTAGTTGCTCCGCGGCATGTGGGATCTTCCCGGACCAGGGCTCGAACCCTTGTCCCCTGCATTCGCAGGCATATTCTCAACCACTGCGCCACCAGGAAAGCCCTCAGTCTTTTTTTTGAAGCTGAATATTTGGAAAGTGATCCCCTTAACCATCCATGCTGCAGACCTATGGAAGTGTTGATGAAGCCCAGTTCAGCGCGATGTTCTAATGCAGCACGCCGTCTTTCATCTCCAGCCCTTTGCCAGTCTTTCCCATTGAGCTACAACTCTCTTCCCCACGCCCACTCCCAACCCCACAACCGCCGTTTTCTCTGGTCTGACTTCTGTTTGTCTCTCCGACCCCAGCTCATGCCATACCTCCCTGAGGGACCTTCTCAATGGCCTGGGTAAGGATGGGTCCCCTGCTGTGACTTCCACAGCATCTCCTTCTCCTGTGTTGACACTTATCACGTTGTGTCTCTATTGCCTGTTGGCTTGACTTCCATCTTTGGAAGTCTGGGGAGAGCAAGGACTGGGTCCATCATATTCACGGCTCTGTTCCCACAGCAGCACAGTGCCTGGCACATAACAGGCATTCAGGAAATATCTGCTAAAAGAACAAATGAATGAAGAAACATGGGGAGATCTTTGCAAGGGTGATCTGCCTCGAAATCATGCAGGCTGTGTTTGGTGAGCCGGGTCTCTCACCAAAGAGAACTTGTCAAAGTTCTCTTCTTTTGTGAGAAAAGCCCTGCTGCTGTTGGCTTTCCATCGAGGCTTCTTCCCTCTCAGGAGCCCTGATGACAAGAGAATGCGGTCAGAGCAGTTCAAGATTATAGCCGTGGCTTAATAGAGCAGGAGAATGTGCTTTGGACCAGCTGTGCCTCAGTTGGTGTGGATAACTGCCACGTATGATGATCCTAATGCAGGTTTGTTTGTTTTTTTTTGTTCAGACCCTGAGTGAATCAGAAAACTTTGAAGCAGCTGTTTACGAATTGGCCAAGACTCCCCTTATGGCTGACGTTTATTACATTGTTGGTGGCACATTCCCCCAGGAGGGAGTGGTCATCACAAGGAACAGAGATGGCCCAGCAGACATATGGCCTCTAGATCCTTTAAATGGAGCGTGAGTAGAATTAAAGGCTCTGGTCATTTTGTATCAGTAATCTTTTTTTTTTTTCCTTTAATTGGTGAAACTAGAGGTATTTTTTTATTTTTCTATACTTTTTCTTTAGCTATGTCCCAAATGACCTTGGCTAAGACAAGATGATGTGCTGTGTTGCAGGTGGTTCCGAGTTGAGACAAATTATGACCATTGGAAGCCAGTGCCTAAGAGAGATGACCGAAGGTAGTCTCTAAACACTTTCTGTTTGCAGTGTTTTCTTGCTGTCAGGAGAATGTGCCCCTCTTGCTACGGGAACTGGAGAGGACTATAGGTGCTGTCCCCTCCCAGAAAATGTACCTTAGCCCTTGGCCAGGATGGGAGAGTGTGGTATGTGGTGGAGAGCATGGCAAGGAGCTTCTTGGCAGATGGCTGGGTGTTGGGAAGACAAGGTTGGTTCTGGCCTCAGGGTCAGGAGTTCTAGATTCCACCACTAGCTCTGCTGATGACTCACTGGGTGGCCTCTTGGGCCTCTGTTCGCCCATCTGTAAAAGGAAAGGGTGGAACAAGGTTCATGGTTTTCTATGTAAGACTTTTTGGGAAGGAAAACATTTCCCTGCACTTAAATAAATAAACTTTGGGGGGGCTTTAATTTCCCTTCTAATTTTGAAAATTCTATAATTATAAGTCAGTGCGTCCCCAAAAGGCAAGTAGTTATATATTTTTCCTTGGCTTTACTGACCCGTGTGTTCGGTGGCAACTGTTCAATTCACAGACAACATTTTCATCATCCTGGCTTCCTTGAGCAGACGGGGTTGAATTAATTCCACCATGGTGGCTTGAGACAAGGTAGCAAACATGCATGGGGGCCAGAATCTGTTTGGGGGAAAGGGAGATAATGAGGCTAGGCCTTGCATTGAGCCTCCCAAAATGAGAGCTTGTGGGATTCGGAGTTTCCTGAAGTACCAAGTGACCTTTGACCATTGTCCTTACAGAACACCTGCCATCAAAGCTCTTAATGCCACGGGCCAGGCAAACCTCAGCCTGGAGACGCTTTTTCAGGTAACTTGTGTCACGATGTCCAGCTTTTACCCAGAATGTTTGGTGTCTTTCTCAATAGTGATTTAAAAAAAAAAAAAACTCTTCTGAAATCAAGCAATATTAAAGTAGAAGTTTTACCTGGTTGAAAACATTTAAAAGGAAAACATTTTCTGAATTTGTAACCATTTAGGTTAAAGTATCATCTTCACCTGAGTTTTTCTGCATGTTAAAAAAAAAAAAGCATAGTTGTAACGTGTTCATTTGTTTAAAAGAAAAAAAGGTTTCAAAAGTCTAACTCTGTCACCCCAAGATACACCAAAGTGTTCAGTGGTTATTTTATTCCTATTGATATTCTGCATGTATTTCTCTTACCTTTTAATAGTCTTTTATTTATTATTATTATTTTATTGAGGTATAGTTGGTGTACAACGTTACATAAATTTCAGGTGTACAACATAGTGATTTACAATTTTTAAAGGTTATATTCCATTTATAATTATTATAAGATATTGGCTGTATTTCCTGTGTTGTACCATATAATATATTTGTAGCTAATTTTATACATAGTAGTTTTGGTTTTGGTTTTTTTCAGCTGCGTTGGGTCTTTATTGCTGTGCACGGGCTTTCTCTAGTTGCGGCGAGTGGGGGCTACTCCTCGTTGTGGTGCGCGGGCTTCTCATTGCAGTGGCTTCTCTTGTTGCAGAGCACAGGCTCTAGGGCACATGGGCTTCAGTAGTTGTGGCACTCAGGCTCAGTAGTTGTGGCTCACAGGCTCTAGAGCGCAGGCTTAGTAGTTGTGGCGCATGGGCTTAGTTGCTCCGTGGCATGTGGGATCTTCCCGGACCGGGGCTTGAACCCGTGTCCCCTGCAGTGGCAGGCAGATTCTTAACCACTGCACCACCGGGGAAGTCCCTATACATAGTAGCTTGTATCTCTTAATCCCATACCCCTAATTTGCCCCTCCCCTCCTCTTTCTCTCCCACTAGTTTGTTCTCTGTATCTGTGAGTCTGTTTCTGTTTGCTATATACATTCATTTGTATTGTTTTTTAGATTCCACATATAATTGATAGCATACAGCATTTGTCTTTCTGTCTGACTTACTTCACTAAGCATATTGCCCTCCAAGTCCATCCATGTTGTGTAAATGGCAAAATTTCATTCTTTTTTGTGGCTGAGTAATATTCCATTGTATATGTACACCACATCTTTATCCATTCATCTGTTGATGGACACTTAGGATGCTTCCGTATCTTGGCTATTGTGAATAGTGTTGCTATGAACATTGGGGTGCATGAAGCTTTTCAAATTTCTAATCATTTTTAATATGATTTCTCCTATGCAGGTTTTGTCAGTGTTTCCGGTTTATAACAAGTAAGTGACATGTTAAGCACGTCTGTTCATACATCACCCTGGCACAGTAGACTCTCCCCTGCACTCTTTGGCTCAGCAGGGATCTGAGGGCTCCCACAGAGCAGGTTTTCTAGGTGCTGTGGCGCCAGCTGTGACAAAACAGACTCTTTGCTCTCCTGGGACGAGCATTCTACTGGCAGGGAGGGACAGATAAACAAATGTAGCAAAAGTCAGGTGAGGAGTCCATGGAGAAAAACAAAGGTGAGGAGGATAGAGTGATCTGGAAGGAGGAGGGCGTGACATGCTCATCCTAAATCCGTCTGCTAGCTGGGGACCACCTTCGCTGCTTGGGAGCTCCCTAATTTCACTGTTAGTACTAAGCTTTAGATACCTTTGGCTTTCCTTTATCTTCCCGGGGAGTTTCTGCTACCCCTGTGCTCATTTCACAGCTGATTCAGTGCCTAAGTTAATGTTTCTCTTTTAGCCTGTGTCCTTGATAGTAGCATTCTGTGAGCAATGGCTTCTCGGGTCTACAGCCTGGGATTTTACCCACCTCCTTTTTTTTGAGATGAACCGCTGGGCCGGGCTGCCACTGCCACTGCCATAGGAAGCGGTTAGTTAAACTTGAGACGCAGACCCCACCAAACTTGTACAGGAAGCTCTGAAGGTCCGCCGTCACCATCACAGCACGGCTGAATAGGCCAAGAGCCCGCACTTCGTGGCCTCATACCCCTCAAGGTGTTGCCTGATTGCCTTCTGTGTGCCCACGACCAGCTCAGTGAGGTAGGGCCTAAAATAGAAGAGGTAGCAAGTCATCACAGAGTCTTATCTCCTTCTCTTACCTCCATAAATTCCAAAACCCAGCATTTCCTACTTTCTCATCATCCTTACTTCTTTCTTCAAGGCAAGAATATCAAAAATGGTATTCTTCAAGAAATAGCCTAATATGGATAAAACTTGTAAAGGGATTTTTAGTTTCAAATACCCAATTGATTTTTTTGCTTTGAAATGATCCTCTTTCACACAAATATAAAACAGTAGTTTTCCTGACGGCCTCTAGATTACCTTTTGTATATTTGGGTGCTCTGAGATTCCTTAGGCACAATGACATTTTCAAAACTGGTGTTACTCTGTTCATTTTGCACTGTAATAGGAATATATCTCTTTGAATTTTTTTAAAGTATGTCCAGATAAAAAGATTATTGCTAAAAAATTAATTCCATAAACGATATTCTAACAGCTAAAACAATCTTCTACAGAAAAGCAAATCAGTATTTTCCCACTCTAACAAATGAGCTAGTTGGGTCACAAATGATACCTAGCACTATGCTAGTGAACTAGTTCTTTGAGGGCAGAGAGAGCAAAAACAAAAGACTCTCCTGATTTGTAGCATTTATTGATTTCCTTGGTGTAAATACTCACCCTGGCCTATTTCAAGCTTACAGTTGGCTCATAAACTTCCTGCATATTTAACCATTGACTCTCAACAGCCTGTAGGAGTTAGCTCCAACTCACCATTACCCTTTCCAGATGGGCACAATTTTGCCTTTTTAATAATCATTTAAAAAAATAGTTAGGGCTTCCCTGGTGGCGCAGTGGTTGAGAGTCCGCCTGCCGATGCGGGGGACACGGGTTCGTGCCCCGGTCCGGGAAGATCC